TTTTTAAATTAAAATTTAAGATTGTAATATTGTATTAATCTAATGACTAATATGTTTAAGAGTTCTTTAATGCGAGACATGCTTTCTCGAATAACATTAGGTGATAAAAAGTTTTAAAGTGCTGTTACAAAATGGCGAACGACGAAAAGGATGGAAATCAGAAAGGCGACGGGCGACAATCAACGATTCTTGAGAAATATCTTTGTCTTAATGATTCGATTTTTCTCGCCTTTTTACAATACATTCTAAAACTTTTATCGTTTAATTCTTTTCAAGAAAGTTATATGTCTTATATCAAAGAACATATCAACGTTAGTATTAGCTCGTCGGTATTCGCAGCTACTTTTTTTTTGTTGTCTAACATTATGCAACTGCATTCTAAAACTCTTTATCGTCTAATTACATCTGAGAGAGCAAGTCTCGCGTTAAAACATACATAACAATATTAAAATGAATATATTTCTCGAGATATGACCCAGTGTCGTTCAGCGCATTTCGCATTTCAAAACACCCGCGGAATACCTCCTGCAATCCAGGCAACCTCCTTGCTCAACATGGTTTCCTGATATATCAGGAGTAAATTTCCGAGATTTCGCGGTGCGAAACCTGAGTTTCGCCTACTTTATTATCCGAATTAATTCTTCTATTAACTTTTATTGTCTTCTAACGTCTCTACTGATGCATAATTAAATTCTTGCTATTTTTTAATTATTATTTTAGATTAGAGTATTCTATTAATCTAATTATTAATATAGTTATTAATTATGTTCTTTTGAATAATTTATGCAAACGCAAAATGCGGCAGACTGAAATGTAAAACGTATGCAACTGCAGTCCTCGTGCCCGTGCTCGGCAGAAAGGTAGGTATAGGAGCTTTAAAATGCGACGAATGACGCTTAACTGGACATATCTCGAGAAATACGTTTATTTTAACATTGTTATATGTCCTTTAAAATGCTGCTGCATAATGTTAGACAACGAGAAATAGGTAACTGCAAATTACAAACGGCGTTGGACCTCAATTTCGGAGCAAATTCCGAAATACGATGTATCTATTCTTTAATACGAGGCATGCTCTCTCGAATTTGGCGATAATTGATAAGAGTTTTTTCTTTATAAAATTTTGAATTTTTTTAGAAATGTCCGTGGTTGCTTTAACTTTCGTCAATTTTAAGAGATATATCGGGCTATTTATAATTCTAATTAGACTTAACTTTATACGCAATCAAAGGTCCATATACGAGGTTTACGAAAACAAAAAGCTTCCTCTATGAGGAAACAATATGAAGCAGTAAGTATAAAATTTTTAATTTTTTTAGTTGGAAGTCATCTTTATGTCATATTAGGAGCTTAACGTAATAATCCTTACCCCACACTCCCACCAGTGTAGGTATCTGCATTCCGTAAGAGAATACCCAACAGAAGATTATCATCGTGGCTATCCAGTACTTCTTATAAACTCTGCTATAAATCGCGTGATGCGCTATCATAATGTATCTATAAAACCCAACAATTTTAATTAAAATCTCATATTATACTTTAATTTCGTCGCATATTAATTCCGTTCCTTAGACTCGGTCGAATCGAAGAAAATCTTTTAACTAGACGCACGCACCTGTTGATAGTAATTGCTGCGACAGACAGGAGACTGACGCCGACGTTTCCGTACCGCAAAAAGGGTACGAAGACGCAGAAGAATCGTACGTCCGCCCAACCGGCATTGATGAACCTGATAGAATCGAACGGTAACACCAGCAGGCAGAACACGAAGTCCGCGATGCACAAGCTGTGGCATGAAACTATTTCATTTTAATCGACATGGACATTAGAAAAAAATCGCGTTTTAACATTTAAAAAATGTATGAATCTAGCAGTCAATTTTATGTTAGAAAATGACGTGATATGTTCGTCATAACATCGACACGAACATCACGATGATTCATATACAAGTTTTTTTAATATGTGTGTAAGGAAGCTATTTATACAGTATTGAGTAAAGAATTTTGATGACAAAATTAAGAAAACAAAACTGTTTGTCGCACCTTATGATGAAGGCCGCTGCAACATTGCGAACTTTGGGATATTTACACAAAGCAACGATCGTCAGTAGATTACCGGCAAGACCAATAATCATGATGATGATTGCCACTACCGCCGCGAAGGTTCTCAAGGGCTTCGGAAATCTGCGACAGATAAAGTAATCATGAAAACGATCAATCTTTGTTATTATAGCTATATTTATTAACAAGTAATATAATTAAATTTTAAATATAAATAAATCAACGGCGCTTTCCTTAATTTTATAATTAAATTCATTAACAAGTGATATATGTGTATAATAAATAATTTTAAAAATGTTTAAGCCAACTTTTTGAATTGAATTCAAGTTCAAGTGTAAATTACACGCGTTTAAAATAACAATCAAAATCGTGCGTGGTTTTAAATTTAATTCACTCCATTAAATTGCGATTTAATTACACAATCCAAGGCAGCTATAAGGAATGTACGATTGGAATATCGGCGATTCTAATTACTTATGCTCCAAAAGGAACGACGTACCTCGACAGTTCCGAGTCGACGATGGTGCTGTGCGTAACGTTGTCCATGACGCGCGGCAACCACGTGTCCGTGCCGTCCATTATGCCGGCCGTGCCGAAGGTGTCGAAGCTCCGGTCCAGCGATTCCATTCGGCCTCGCGACCCGACCTCGAAGGCCTGTGACATTCAAGAGCGGAAGAACGGAATTAAATATTCGACCTGCGTTCCTCTTTCCGGATGACTAAAGCAGATGACTAAGTCTCGTAGTTAGGGAGCACGAAAACATTTTGGCGAACGCGAACAAGACCCGGAATATCTCTACCTTAGATCGGTGTTTTAGTTTACCGCTGTCTGACGAATATTAATATTAATGCTGTTGCTGCCTTCGTGATCGGTAAAGATTAGCGCACCAGGGGACACGATTGCGACATTATGGCAGGGGCGCGAAAAAGACAGACATGGAATTCCTGTGAAGAGGAAACCGCGATTTAAAATTCCGATACGAACTTGTTTGAAACGATCTGACGTAAAAGCGGATGCGACAACGCACTTGCTTAAAAACTGTTTCCTGAAGTGCAACAGAGAAAGACTCGCGTATCAACGAATTAATCATTTGTTTTACCACAATTTATCAAAATTCGTAACAGCATGAAATGCTATTTAAAAATAGCTTTAAAAATAGCTTGTTAAAATAGTCAAAAAGTATTATAAACGCGTATATCAGATTAAAGTATACAGTTTTGTAGAATCTATATTAATAAAAAATGAAATTTATTAAGAATAATACTCTAAATAAACAATGTTTTGAAACTATTGTTAAAAATGTATTTATTTATTACCAGTAATTAAAAAAAGATAGTAATGCCACGTGATACATGCTACATTTGTTTCTTTATACGAATTTCTGTATTCTTCACTTCGATGTACAGCGTTTTCCGAACAAAATATATTACATTTCTAGAGTTATTGAAGACTCCGAGTGAAGGATCCGCGAAAGCGATTGTCTGAAGACGCGTGGGACGTTTGACATTTGCGTTATGCAAATTCCGCGCGTGCGATTCTGCGCATTAAAATAATTCTCCGACGTGGACAATGGTCGGAGAACGACTTACGTTTAGAACGACAGATCGTAAGAATTTATTATTATTTATGGGCTCATGAACGAAGGGCGCCACCGACGGAAATGGGTCGTCCGGAGAATTTACGGAGGACAATGCGAGGCTCTCGCTTATGACACCACGCTAATTCGCTATTTTTCAACGCGCTGGACATTAATAACTCGATCCGATCGTTTCGCTCTTGATAATGTTTCATTAATCAAATTACTGAAGCCGATTCTACAGACTTTAAACAATTAAAATCCCACCTATTTCTGGCTGCAATTATATTTGTTTCACGCGATAATTATGAACGTTAATGATTTCCAGGAGGAAGTCTGTTGAATGTTATTTTTAATTACGAACGAGAATACTAATTAAGGTGAAACAAGTTTCGTATTTGGCAAATACATATATGTAAATGTGATATTGAAACCTGTGCATTGAAATATATTCACGTTTATTTTTCAGGCATTCGAATTCACATATTGATTATATATATATACGCTTAATTTATAAGTCATTTATCTTTCTTATTCTGTCTCCGACTGTTCGATTGCAGCCACGCTGAATAACCGAGTTTACTAATGACTGCGGGTACATGAGTCACTTGTGTTTTTGAAACATGTGTAACGATACTCGATATCACAAACTCACAATAGGCACGTATCCTTGTAATTTCAATAATTACTCTTAAGTGCTGATATTAATATTGTTTATTTTGTTTCTTCAAATTGTCTATCTAAATTTATTCCTTATTACTAATAAATGTAATTTATTAATTAATGTAAAGAATAAATGTAAAGAAGTTAATAAATATAACTATATAATTTTTTAATTTTGCGCAGCTTTCATATTACATACATAATTTCGGTAATATAAATGCACTACGCTTTCAAGGTATTTACGAAAAATCTTTTGTAAATTTGTAAAGTACACACCGCTTACGTTAGTGTCAGGAATTGCAATGGAGAACTCTGTGAATAATCGATTAGCGATCGTGGTCTATGTGCAAACGTGTATAGTTGCGGAGGGTGCGTTAGATTTGGTAAACTGGGGTCAAGCTGCGGTACATTAACCCCGATTGAGCTTAATTAAGGGAAATTAACGGACACCCGGTACTAGGCGTCCCCTCGCGACAAAAAAAAGCGATGAAAGCCGCGGAAGACATGGGAACGCATTAACGCGTCGTCTGCGTCGCCGTTCTCGTTTTATACATTTTGTCGACATTACACTTGATATTATCACATAGACCACATTGAATAATTAATCGTTATCAAAAGAAACTTCTGGAGAAATGAACTAAATGTTATATGAAAATATTGACAAAACAAAAAAAATTGAACTTAAAAAGAAATTCGTTTTTGAACTTGACGTTCGTTTATGTACATCAAGTTCAACATTTGTCACCACGTTTTGCGGTCACGTTTAAACAACGTGAGCGTTTTCGCTTTTTTGTCTGCATAGGGTGATAATTTTTTAATTAAAATTAGCATTCGAATTTAAAGAATTATTCGCTTTTATTATTACCACAAGAAAATTGAATTCTGTTAGGTAATAATCTGCTGTTGGTTCGGGTCTGATCAGGTGGCAGGTATTTGACTTCGGGCGTGTGTTTGACTTTGTTATCGGTTCGATAAGCAAAGCTAATCGGTTTCTCGCTGCGACGGAGGAAGACGCCGCGCGAAAACCGCGAACCATTATTACTTCTCGTTCCGTGGAAGTCGTCGGCGACGAATTGACGTCATCACACACCGAATGATTTCCGTGTTAATCATGCGGCGAACGGCAATGAATGAGTCAAGTTGAGTCACGGTGAAAGTACCTAGCGCGAGTCGTCGATGCGTCGTTGATCCGCGTCTCTCGTTGCACCTCCTCGGTCAAAGGCGCGTTTAAACCTTGTACGCGGATTTACATTTAGCAAAGGTTTATATCAACACTCCGTGTAATACTTCGGTCTGAGAGACCCGCCGATTTACCGCCTCTAATACAAATTAACACCCATCAGTAACACGCCGATACCGTCGCCTTGAAATGTTTATCTACAGCTTCATTCGTTAAAGGATGAGCTAATACATATAGCTAATACATATTTATCAAGCTAATACATATTTAATTAAATAAAACTCGACTGCACAAAATTATTATTCAATTAAAAAGTTGATCGTTCTGAAAATACCGAGAGATCAAATTAAATATCACGCTTTGGCTTCTCTGCATCACTGCAGCAGTATATAAAAGCGAATAAAAGTAATAATAATGTAAATTATCACATAATTTTTATTACGCTTGCAAAAACCTTTCGTGTTCTTTTAACGACGTAAACGGCGAATGATCTCGGGGTATAAAGAAGCAAATACCGAATGTGCGAAAAGATATGTGCGCGCGAGCTGGGCGCGGGATCGTTGAAAGTCGATCGAGTCGCGCGACCAACTCTCGTATCCCGCCCACGAGAGCACCACGTGGTGTGGATGTCAAATGTCTGCACGTACGACACAAAACATGTGTCGTGCTATTCATACCGTGCATTTAGCGCCAAATATGCTGTACGCCGGGTGACATTAAAATACCGACGTCGTCGATTCACTTAAAACGCAACGTTTTCTCGTAATATATTAACTTTTACGTGAATATATTTACGGACATTTTTAATTTAAGAAAGGAAAACACTTTTATATATATACCACAAAGTGGTAGAGCAAGTAATAATAATCTGTGCAGATCACAGGAGTTTTAAAAATTTATATTCTGCAGTATAAAATATTAATTAGTCAACCTCGGGATTCGAATAATTGTGTCCAATAAATATTTAAGTATTCGAAGGTCCATTTTCGCATTAACTTTCGGTACGACCCAGCTAATTGAATGCTACACCATGCATCATAATTCTCTCCACGTCACGTTTCTAAATTGCCCCTTGGGACCATCGGGTAACTCACCACACGCTTTTTTGCCCGGTTCTCGGCATTGCATTGGTCCCTCAAGATCGCAGACCAACGCCGCCCTTGAGATCAGAGGAGGACTCACGCGAGTGAAAACCGCGATTACAATCAAGTGAAATGATATTTTTTAAAGAATGAATTAGCCGAATATGCAAGCATCTTTTTCATTTCTTTTTTTTAAGATGAGACTTTGAACGATTGAATTCGGATGGAAATCGGTTTCGTGAAACTTTAATATTTAAATTAATATGTCGTGAATCGATATGCCGTAAAAGTTAAGAAAAAGAAGAATATAAGTAAAGGGAAGATGATAAATCAGAAGGTATCTCGTCACTTACCGCTTGTTAGTTGCTCTTATCTCAGACTAGCCATAAGTTTGTCGAGGCAGGTAGTCGAAGGGCCAAAGGCAAATCTATTGACTTTTGTAGATTTTGAAGAGTATGACAGGAAGTTTTTCTTTATCAATAGTCTTTATCTTCAGTGCGTCCTCGTCTGTGTCCTCACGAAAAACGATGAACGACCACTTTACGATATGTCGAACTGAGAATTGTCTAACAACGTTGTTTCAGGAGATACAACAGTTCTTCTATCAATTGTCTAATTATTAAACAATTAACTCGCGAACGGAGTCTTGCTTTTCTTCTTCGTCCTATTTCTCTAATTTCCTCATGGAAACTTCACTTCGTTAAATTTTCTGCCGATTTTCACAGAAGTCACTTGAGGTCTCTCTCTTCTCGAAAGAAAGCTGCTTCTTATCCCGTTAATTATTATTTGCACTTATTCCTATTAAAAATATTTCGTTTTAAATTTTATTTCAAATTGTCTTGGAATTTTTTCTCTTTTCGCGGACAATGCCTACCGCTTAGTTCGCAATAAGGCGGACGATCGCGGCGACTAGCAAATTTGATTGCGCGCTATCGGTTCTGCGGGGACCGAACCGACTCGGGGACCACCGGCGCGAACGCGGTTGCTCGGGCACCGTGTATGCGTCAGCGTCACCGTGAATGGACTGCTGCTTATCCAGCATTCCGTCAGATTGTACACACGCTAGATACGGGGCCCGCGAGTAGGGCGACCGCCAGGAGGAGGAAGAAAAGATGTTGGCGGAAAGAGGAGTTGCGGGGGAGCGGCTCGGTGTGGGCTCGATGACGAACGTAGCGATGGCACATCTGCACCCAAGACCAAGCAGGGAGAAGGGGGAACCCAGTTGACCCTTTCGCTGTGACACATCGAGCCACTTCTTTTTCAATTGCACGGAATGTGCTGCAATTGCGATATATATCGCGTTCTTTCGTTGCTCCGTCTAATTAAAACGAGAACGATGCAAATTACCTTGATCGATTGGTCGTTTCGTAATAAAGCCTTTCTTGCCGATTATGTAAAGTAACTTAAGAATTATCGTAGTATAAAAGAATATTCGCATTATACCTTCGGTTCCATATCTCTATCGAATAAGGAGTTGGAAAGTTTCGACGAAGTCTTACCTTATCTTGACATAATTTTTATCTCTGTCTCGATTATCCGGGAGTCTCTCATGAAACAGTCGCCCAATGCAAGAAAAGATGAATGTGTACGAAAGAGAAGGCCGTGAGACTCGTGAGTCACACGCGGATATGTATACGAGACGTTAGAAGTACATTATAATAGATAAATAGAATGTTAATAATCACGAAGAATTCAATACTAGGCAAAATATAAATTTGATATATGTATAAATCAAATTTATATAGTTTATAACAATTGAGCCAGTTGTATTCATTTTATCACGTCTGAGCGAAGGATTTTATAAGAGAATCTTCAAAAGAAGATTTACTCAGCTTGCTAAAAATATGTTAAGTAAGATTAAAATAACTTAAACCACAATAAGTTACCTGGTTAATTAAAAATCAACTGTCTCGCGACCGATGATAAGCATAAACCGCAGTACCAAGGCGGGCAAACGGCGAACCGTATTTGGTATCAGATTCGCAAGAGAAGAACTTGCACTCGAGTAACCTACTCGCGGTCAACCGATAAGATCGTAGCTCTTAATACCGCGGGCGCGTTTATTACGTAAGCAACCGAAGACACACGGCGAGAGTGAATTAGACTTAACGAAGTGGAACCGACCGGCGGCGCATTAATTGGTATGACTAAATCGAACGTCTCGTTAGTTTCACGCGTCATAAAGGCGACCCGCATCCAGCCGCGGTTGTCCGGAATTAACTCGGTCGACCGAAACTCTCCCATTTTTCCAATCTGTATCCTTATTCTATGTAAGGGACATTGATGTTATCAGCGTAATCTATTTATGTCAAATATAATAATCAATTCGTTTATGCCATATATAATATTAATAACACGTTCGTGTGCGGCGTCCTAGATTTGCCGGATGTTCTTCCGGCGCGGCGCGTTATAGATACGCAATATCATAAATTAAAAATGTCAATCATCACAAAGCAGTTAACATAGAGAGCTGAAGAATTGTCAGTGTAATATTGAAGTTTCGTGTGATAAGAGAGCATCGATTTTTAATTAATCAAAAATGTGTGACTAAAAAAACAAGAGAGATATAGATCATAAATTAGAGAAAATTAATTTTATATTGCCCACAAGATTTATCATTGAAGAATAAATGCGGTAAAATTCAAGACGCTTCGCACAGAATGTCATTTGATTAATTTTAAATATTAATTGAAACATAATCGTGCACATTATCCGTTGATTATTGATTGCTATTATCGGATATTTCTTCGACCATACCGCAGATTTTTTCATAAACTACATTATTCAATTTTGTTAAAAGAATACGCGATTATCAATTAATAAGCAATATAATAATGTATTCTATTTTACGAACAATATTTTACAGCTTCCTAGACAATTAGTCAGAGATTTCAATGATCCCCTAGAACTCGGACAAGCAGCGAAATGGGGAAACGCGCTTCCGACTCGCTCGCTTCCGCTCGCGGTCATTCGTGCGCAGCTGGAGGCTCTCTCCCTCGCGACTACTACTAACAAAATGCAATTATTTTTAAAAAGGATGTAGGGACGCTCTCGCCACGGTTTCCAGGGGACGGTACGCTCCCGATCAGACATGGTAGGTGCTCTACCACAAGTGGCATATCGACAATGGGACGACATGGGGCTGGCTGGCACCGTTTTAACGCTTTCGCTTATACCACATATAGGTACGCAACATGCCGATTCGCATAATAAATTGTTTATAACAAGATTGGTGAACGATGCCCTCGGTGCTTATCTAATTTTATAAAAAAGCAAGTAATTAATATCTCTCATGTAAAATTATACGATACAGGTCGCAAAAAATTCTATCGCGATAGTAAACAAAAGAAAACAATCAAAGAAGCGATCTCTTTCTGATTGCCGAGAGGACTCGGTTTTCAAGAAAAAATTATCTCTCGACGTCGGAGTCAAAGGAGGAGTCAAATTTGGCGCAAGCGCAGCATCCGCGGAAAGTGCATATACTCTTGTATGCATCCTTGAATCTTGCTAATAATTCCGCCAGTTTATTCGCGAAGTTTGCCGAGTCCGTTTCGTTTGCACGTCAATTCTATTTCTTCCTTTCTTTGTTGATCATTGTTGTGCCATAAATAAATTTGAGTAACTCTGTTTTTTCATCAAATTTATTTATTGGTGAATATATCCTATCGACGAGATATCTAGCAATTGCGACAAAGCAAACGAAATTTATAGTTTCCCAGACGAAACCACTCGAGTTTGCCAAGGTCAACATGAGAACCGACAAGAAGAAGAATAAGTTGGAGACATGACTAACGTCTCAGCCCGGTTTCGAAAGGAACGAGAAAAGATCACGAAGATCTCAAATTATTGCCGATAACCACCGTCAATGAGTCGGAAATGTGTTTTTTATTTTCGCAAAGGTAAGTGCAGCACTATAAACCGTACCTGTAAAAAATTTTTGTAAAATTTACAACTATTATAGTGGGTAATTTGAGACCCACTATAATAGGTGTAAATTTCCACACATTCTTAATTTGTGTAATTGTAATACAAAATTACTTTTTCCTTTCGTACTGTAATTTTACAAAATTTTTTTACAGTACGAATAAAATCTCTGGAATTTTTATTCAAGACAATTCTCTCATTAAACAACTAAAAGCAAAATCACATTAAAATATTTACTATGTTTTTAATGCTCTGTTATACTACGTTTTTGTTCGCCCTCACTCTAATGCATTTAGTGAAAGTGACCTAATTTGCGTGCGAACGTTAATATGTTTGTCGGCGATGATTCGCGGACTATGCGAGCATTGCGAGCTATTATACGAACTGACCACCGATACTCCGCGGGTATGCTATATAGACCGCGAGAGGCCGATTCGAACCATAGAAACGTCTGAAAGTTTACGCTCCGGCGAAAGAGTTTATCGTCTCAGGTGACGAAAATAGATCTCTCTGTTCCTCTCCGACGCACCGTTGGGAGAAAAAAGAGAGGCGCGCTCGGTCTGTCCGACACACGGACGCGCGGCGTGTGAAATTCGCGCCTTTGAAATGGCGACGCGTGCACACGTGTCGGTCGTTAAACGGGATCGTAATGTGTAACACAACCCAGGTAGCAAGATGACGTTCAAAAACGTCTTAATGACGTTAGAGACGTCATTAAGACGGAATTAATACGTCATTTGACGTCCACTCTGCTATCTGGGAAAGAAGAAGTAAGAAGGGAAAAAGCGCAAGATGTAAAACAAATACGCGTGTACATTTTCAGACTGCTCGTGTAAATTCCTGATAGCGTATCCCCTGAATCTTCCTGAGAACTCAATTACACGCTAATGCATAATTAAATAATGCATAATTTACGAAAATAACAAAGCGTTGATTTAATCACGCTACGACGACAATTATTATTTAGGTCACTATATAAATAGATAAAATAGATTATATATAAAATAATTATAAGTAGCCGATATTATCTTAAAGAGTTCTCCTGAAAATATCAAGATAAATAAATATTTCGTGATTGGCGGAAGTTAAAGTGTCAGGATTCTATTTACGGCCCTGATACGACATTCGTATAGACGTTATACTCGGCGAGAGGTTCGGCTTTCCGCAGATGCTGGAATACTGGAGGATGACGAGCAACGAAACCGAACGCAACCGCAGCGGCGACAATCCTGCGATAATCGAGGAGATGCTGCAGGATCCAGGATCGGTGATCCTCTTCGTTGATTATCCACGGTGGCTGCTGTGCTTCGCCGCCGCCTGCTGCATCCTCTTCATGCTGGTCGGCATTCCGGGAAATCTTATCACGGTGATCGCGTTGTTTCGCACGAAAAAGGTCCGTAACCGTAGCTGTAGCCCACATAACTTCGTATAGTGAATAATATTAAAAAGAAAATGCAAGCAGAGGAAAAACGATTAAAAAAAATTCATTGACTGATGATTTGATTAGTAGACGATACAAATTTCATACAACTTCGATGCTGGTGTTGCAGAAAAACGATGAGACGATTCGTGGAGAGAAAAAAATTCACAGAAAAGTAATATATCAATGCTGGTGTTGTTACAATTGAGTTTTCTTCTAAAAAAAAAAACATTCTGAAGTGCTTGTTTTAATACACAAATAACGCATGCACTGCTATTTGTACAACTCGTTTTGTGCCACTCGTGACAATTTTCTCGACTCGTGCTCGACTTAAAGTATGATGAATTCGTGTTATGCAAGGCTACTCATGTTTCCGGCACTGCTTACATGTAGAAATCTTAAAAGCTGTCAGAGTGGTTTACCTCGAGTCATTATACCTCTTTAGTCTTACAAAGCGTTAATAGCAATAATGAATAAGGACTTCAACGTCCTTAATCACGCTACGACGACAATTATCATTTAGTGTGAAAATATTTCTTGATTCAATATTCTTGAACCACAGTTTTATCTCATAAAGATCCTGCTTTATGCAATTTTTATATTCTACAATATTTTATATTATTAATCTTTTTTTATTGGATTAAATAGCTTTTGTTCACAAAATTGAGATTTCGAAAAATGTTTCTATTTAAAATTAGAGGCAAACCTTTCAATTAAATAACTCTAATATTTATAATTGTAACACTGTGTAATACTGTTACTAATAATAATAATAATAAATACATTTTATGTAGAAATTTTATTATTATTATTATTATAAAAAAATTGATATTTTTCGGAATATGGGTAATAAAATTGTTTTCTTGCGTAGCAAAACACATTTTATTTCTGACAAATTGACGCCGAACGGAGGTCGTCGGCACAATTCTATAGCAAAGCCTATAGCCCGCCAGTCGATCATCAATGAGTTAAGTTTGGAATCGATTACGCGGAACTGCGCGCATATACAATCTTGTGTTTTCATGAAGGTTCACGTACTCCGATATAATCGACTAGAATTGAATCGCGAAGTCTCTATCAACTTTATCGTGTTTATTCCCAGAAATTCGAAGTTTATTCGATAACTTAATTTAAATTACTTTTCACGTTAACAATTTCTTCGTTATTATTCACACATCGAATACTTGCTATAATCACGATCAATAATGAAATATAAATAATATATGAGTAATTTCTAAACAGTTCAGATAATATAACAAATTTTGAGAAGCATATATAGTTCTAGGCAAGTATACAGCCAGTTATTTATTAATATAATTATTTATTATATTATATATATATGTATATACGTATTTATCAATATAAGTATATTAAACAATATATTTGTGTAAAGAAATAATTTTGTAATTTTATTTTTATTTTTAGCATCAATTTTTTAAATATTGTTTTGATATTATTTTTCTATAATTCTCTATAATTAATTTTGCCACAGCTAAAGAATGCCACCGCGGTCTTCATCATGAATCTCTCGATATCGGACTTGATGTTCTGCTGTTTCAATCTACCACTCGCGACTTCAACGTTCTGGCACAGGTCGTGGATGTACGGACCACTTCTATGTCGGCTGTTTCCGCTCTTGAGGTACGGCCTCGTTGCAGTCAGCCTCTTCAGCGTTCTCGCGATCACGATCAATCGCTACGTCATGATCGGTCATCCCGGTCTCTATCCTACGTAAGTATCCTACTTAAATTATCTCTCTTCTACTCAAATATTTTATTATTTTATAATTAATTATTTTATACGTTTAATAAACCAAACAAATTATATTATTGCGCACGTAAAATAGATAAATAAAATAATTGAAATAACAAATCAAAAACAGAGATGCTGTGGATTTTAAAATCTTTCAAGTCAATTTTCTCGAAAGTCAACCTTTTATGTTTTACATTTTTTACTTTTTACACGAGGATTTATCTTCTTACAATTAGTTGTTATTACAATAATTGATTATCGAATGTTATTCGAAGGTTGTATAGAACAAAGTACTTAATACCGATGGTACTGGCAATATGGATCATCGCTTTCGGCTTGTTGATCGTCACGTGGTTCGAGCGATTCGGACGTTTCGGATTGGATCCCGCTATCGGATCCTGCTCGATCCTGCCGGATATAAACGGACGGAGCCCGAAGGAGTTTCTCTTCGTTCTCGCGTTTTTAGTACCCTGCCTCGCTATTATCGTTTGCTACGCCAGAATTTTCAACATCGTTCGCGAAACCGCTTCGAAGAGCAGAGGCAGAGAAAAGATCTTCAACATAGAACCTACAGAAACCAGCCATGACGTAAGATCTATTTATTTCTACGACAAAAGAAGAGAGAAAGAAAATTTAAAATTAGCACAAATAAAAATAAATCACGGAAAATATATATTTAAAAAAATAAAAAAAAAAACTGATTACTCTTCTATCTCGAATCTCCACAAGTTTTGTTGGAAAAAATACGATATACGCTTGACGACAGGTATTTTGAATATTAACAGATAAAATTTGTGTATTTTAAATAAATAAAAGTAAATAAAACATTAATAAATTATTTAGTATAGAAATTAAATTAATAAGATAGTTAATAAAAAAAAACTGCTAAAATAAACCTCATATTTTTACTTCATTTATCAAAATATAATTATCATCTTTTCAATTACATTGTTTAAAACCTAGCTTATCATTTTTGGTATTTTTATCTTTACAGCAACCATCCATCACGAAAAACCAGGAGCAAGAGCTTTCTGTCCTCTGCGCTCCTTCCTCATTGATGCAAGCGATTCTTCTTAATTCAGACGAAAGAACGGATCTTGAGCCACCATCTGCATCCATTAACGAAACCTCGTGGTCTAAACAACCGATCCACGATCAACAAAAAGCAGATTGCGCGAAGAATACACGTACAGACGATCTAACAACGAATATCGATGCAAACTCCAACAATGGTTACGATGCTTCTCACGCCAGCCTATTGGAGAATACACCGTTCGTAGATGATGGTGAGATCGAGAAATCGGACTTCACAGAAATGAGGCTGTTCCTGAACCGGAATCAGTACGAGCCGCAGCGGAAGTCGTCGGAAGATCCCTGCGGTCAGCTGGAGAGACTGACCGGTCGACCGTCTTTCATGGTGGAGTCCTCGCTGCAAAGGATCGCTGGTGATGAACGCTCGGATCGACCAGATTCGAGGCCCGAACAATCCTGCGCGAGGAAAGCGTTTCGCAGACAATCGAAGTTTAAAAGCGTCGGCAGGACGCACAACGGCGAGTATGCCACGCCTAGGATGTCCATCAAGGATCGAAAGCTGCTGCAGATGATCCTCGTGATATTCGTGTCGTTTCTGGTTTGCTATCTGCCGATCACCGTCACGAAGCTCTTCCAAGACGTCCATTGGCAGGGCCTCAATATCGCCGGCTATATACTCATTTATCTGACGACCTGCATCAATCCTGTTATCTACGTCGTAATGAGCTCCGAGTACAGAAGCGCATATAAATATGTGTTGCTGTGTAAAGGGTAAACGGACAACGCGTACCGTAAGGAGGAGATTGCCGAGTCTACTGCCCAGCTGAATGTTTAAATATAAATAATTACGAAAATAATAACGAATATATAGATAATGCATAATTGATATTTGTTATTTAGTGCATCTGTATTATTTGAGAATTTTTGTTGACGCTTCTCGATGTTCTTTTTTTCATGAGATAATATCGTCTTCAAAAATCAATGGCACTTGAATAGTTAAAATTGTTGATTTATTGTTAAAATATACATGTACATTTTTAGTCTTCTAACAGTTTAAAAATGATTTTATTTATTTCAATAAAATTAGATAAAATGTATTATTTCTTCGATGATGTTTGCTATTTTTAATTGCTTTGTGTGTAATAGGATGGTGATAGTTGTTGATATTTTTGTACCTAATCTATTAGAATAATTGGAAAATAATCAAAATCTCTAATTGTAAATCTAAACGGTCTTCATTAAGAATATCTGTAATTTTGTGTATCTTTATCAGCGGTCCTTAGTCTTCTAAATCTTTGCGAATCGTTATTAAAAATCAAAACCCTCAATAAAAATTTTAAAATTCTTGTAAAATTTTACTTATAAAAATATATTAAATATATTACAATACATAATCGATATTTTGATTACAAGCTGTGAGGACTAAGAACCGCTGATTCATACTGTACATTACAAGTGCATTATAAAGTGAGAGCTTTGTAACATTCTTACGAGGTAGTTAAATTAATTTTAAGTATGTTACACATGACGCATTGAACCTTATCTATATTCTTAGCTATATATACGCGAGTTTGGTTATTTTTAAAGAAAAATAGATTTATCTATCATTCGTTAAATCACTAGATTGAAATATCAGATATATTATATTTACGATGACTGCTTCAGCTCTTTCAGTCCTTTCGATCACTTAATGCCGCAACATTAAATCCCTTTTTCTTTCCATGAGAATAGTTTCGTTATTATTAATTTTTTAAAGATTGTCCTTCGTCGCATTTGAGAAAAACTATATACATTAAAATGATTTTAATTAAAGAAAGGTATCCGGGACTGAAGAAACAGACTTTCGCGATGTTAATACTGATATTAGTACCTCTCGCTAACAACGTTCAATTTCTATCGAGGTTGGATGGCACCGACGCCGCTTGTATTGTGCTGATGTTCATGCCAGGTGGCCAGCTTTTTTCCGTCTTTTCCCCACTAGCGGTCTTTGGAATAACCTTAGTAATGTCGAGCTTGCCGCTATCGCGATTCTTGTAGTACAAGAATCCGGCCGCGCCGCCCATGCCCATTCCTCCAAGGATCATTATCCACTTCAAAAAGCTACAAATCGAAGTACCAAAATGATTTAATAGATGATTTATTACGTCGGCAAAGGTTTCGATCTAGGAGAAGCCGAAGGAATAATTGCCATTTATTTATAAAAACGTTAAATTGATCGCGGGGCACGTATAAATAAGCTATAGGTATATTGATATTAGCCATCAAATATTATAATTATTTAAGAAACGTTGCCACAACACTTACGTAACCACCGCCGTCACTTTGAACACCACCTTCACCTTGTTGACGAACTCGTCGTCGAGAAGTATTCCTTCCTCTACCCAGAACAGAGGCAGCAACGCCTCTGGAAAGTTCTTCATCAGTCTGAACTTTGGTATCGGTTGTATAAACATGTTGAACTGCAGCCGTTTATGCGCGCGTATCGGCGTGGCTGTCATCGGCTCGAAATCCATGTCGAGTTCATGCTCCGACTGTCGTTGGATATAATTTATTTAAATTATACATCGCCCGTTGTATTTATTTATTTTCTTTATTAATCTGTAACCACCCGTGTATCTCGATATCTTGCTTATTTGTCGATTACCTGATTCGGGTGTAGGCCATCCACCATTGCTAAATATTTCCCGTCGGTATCGTAAAAATGCGGCATGGATCCAATAAGGGGTACGCCAAGACATTTCGTCATGTCGTATAAATTTTTCGTCAGACAATTATCCGGGTCCGAGCAGAAGCACTTTTCCATAGGATTCGTGCTACTGTCTCCCAGGCCCGCGGTGTAATGAAGAGTATTGAGGCCTGCGAATTTGAGAATGTTATAAAAAGCAAAGCTATATAAATAAACGGTAACGTGTATCTATATTTATTTGTGTTTCACCATATTGTTTCGGAATTTCAAGAAATTATATAATTATACAATAAATTTTATCAAAAGATATATAAAAGCATTATATTTAATAGCATAATTCTGCTTCGCAAAACGGTTTTTGCATTTCGAAATGTTAAAGCCTCAACTCCAATTTCTTGGTGTAAATAACTGCGATGCAATTCATATGTATCGTACAATTTAAATTTTAAGTTTCAAGTTCTTTTAATACATGCCTTTGAGTTTGGTGTGATGCGAGAAACGCGCGCTGATACTTCGGCAGATCTCGTAGCCGAAGGAGACGAGATCATCGTCCGGTCCGAACAGAGGCGGAAAGATCGTCGTATCGGTACCGTTGTAGGCGTTGCAGTGATCCTCCGGCCAGATGTCTAATGCGGGTTTACCGTCGAATTCCAAGACACGACCGACGTCCTTGTAATTCTTAATACCACGCAGAACTTTCATACGTTGCGGCACGGCGGTACCGTTTTTCTGTGAAAGTTCAATTTTTCATAAAATCGTATTTTATTGAAGAACAACATAATTTTTATGATTTTCTCATACTTTTATACACGCATTTTTCGCAATGTAACATCCAGTGAAACAACAACAATTTACTTTTCTTTACGATGGAATTGCGGTCAGACGCAACGTCATAGTTCGCTATTATCTCCATGCGTGACTCGCTTTTTCTTCAACATGCAATTAGACTGTTAATTTATCTACTTATCATCATACATCCAAGACGCCAGAGATAATAAAGAACTGCATTAGAATACTGTTACATTACGCATTAAACTGAATATACAAGTCTTTTTTAAAATACAAAAATAAATACATAATTCCAGAAACAACAAATCATTCAATTCACTCGACGGTATTTGGAAAATTCTAACCAGCTTCGTCTAAAATAATTATAAAAATATAAATACATGAAAATCTTTTGTTATTAAGAATCCTCAAGCAATTAAAATTTTTTATATTATCCGTCATCCTCGTATTAAATAATAAAAGATTTATCATTTTCTTTCGGACTGAAACCACTTACCCCGCCGAAAACGGAGAATTTGTAGCGATTTTCACCGTCTGGCACCAGATCTTTCGCTTCCGTCTTCAATACGTTGCACACTGCCGACCCGGCGAAATCTGTTACGGTACAGTCGACGGGTAAACCGTCGAAAAGTATATCCTTGGCCTTGGCCGTCACGAATATCGAGTCCGGCTTATGGAAGATGCTGTCGACGGCTTTGCCTGTGTTATTCATTCGGTAATAAATTTTAACAAATTTCAAAAGATATAGTAGATAAATAAAGCTCGTATAACGATGTTTCCTATGATTACGTTTTCATAAATCATTCGCTATTTTCGTTAAGCTCGAGCTTAATCGTCGCGCGAAGAAACGCACGTGGCGCGAATATTGTGGCGATCGAGGCAACGAAGACCTTATAAATAATTCGCAGCTTCGTCGAGGGTGCACGTACGCTATAGAAAAACGTATCTCACGTTCCACTTTAAACCTTCCGGCGCGCATTTATTATTATAGTCCGCGTCGACCCTGTGCGATACGGCCGATTCGCCACCGCAATCGATACGCGACATTGAAAAAAAAAAATGAATGGCACTCGATACTGATAAATCGTATCTACGTACCGATAATCCCGATCGCGGCGGGCTTGTCCTTAAGGGTGGCTGCCACCATACCCAGAATCATGAGGTGAGGGCACACCATTATCTCCTCGCCCGTCAATCCTTTGCTCTTCTTGGCGTTGAAAAACCACGTTGTCCTCATGCTGTATTCGACGGAGTCCTCATCCTCCCGATCGACAAGATCAAACTTCACCTTCCACTCACTGGAATCGATATTTCATTTTTGGAACGAATAAATTTACGAGAACCAGTAATTTTCGATTAGTGCGGATCAAATAAAAAAAGGTCAAGTCCGATTAAAATAAAATTGTGGATATATCGATAGAGACGCGAGCAATCAAGTACAAATTTTAATTTTTAACAAAATAATAGCAACGAAAAATAGAAACGAAAGCGATTTTAGATATCGTGTTTTTCATCGACTCTATAAATTCCGTGACAATTTATTAGATTTAAAACATTAAATTATAAATTTTTATATAGCGTGATTATTAAAAACGACTCACTCGTAGAAGAACGGTCCAACTTCTTGCAATTTCGGCTTTTGACCCTCCTTAATTTCATCAGGGTTGGTTACATTGAACAAGTAGACCTTAAAGTCCAGTGGAAACGGAGTATTCGACCACATCTCACGTATCTCGCTTCCTGGTTTCAGTGCGATTTGCTGAAGTGTACGTTAAATCTTGTCAGTTTACGATCACACAACAGAATCGAGAAATCAAATAAAAATGATAAAGTTGCCAGTAAGAAATTCATTTTGTAAGAAATTTATTTCTAAAAATTGTAGATTTAATTTAGAAAAGCTCTCGGTTGTCCGCAGCGAATTTGCGACATAATATCTAGAATTTTGCAATCAAAAATGAATCTGCACCCATGTGGATTCCACAAATTACAGTCTTGGCGCAACATACGCGAGCATTTATGTCGGTGAATGTTACGGTTAATTGTAGCTGTGGGAGTAAAAAATAAATGTTTATCAGCAGTCACATGCGACCAATTCTGAAAATGCGCGTCCGTGTCACGTAACAGTGCAGCGAGAAAAATTATAATTATTAATTTCAGATCGGAAATTATAATACAAATAAAGATGAAATAAGATGAAAGTCGAAGTAATATATTGTAACAATACATTATAACATTATAACGAGAGTTCAAGGATTTCGCGACATATACACTTTTGCAGAATGACTATGACGTTTCATAAAATAATAACAACTAGACAAACAAAGACTGAACTGTTCACGTAAAATTTCTTAGAACGATCTGAGACTTGAGAATAACAACAGAAAAATCAAATTATTCGAATATTAGTACATTCACCGCCAAGTGTATTTTACGTGACTTTTCGTTCATGCCAATTAAATTATTTTGTAATAAAAAAGAGAACAATAAAATATTTAAGTTATAGTAGTAAATTTATAGTATTAAACTGTACAAAAATATAATACGCGACGTATTTATTTGACTGTCGCTCTATGACGTTCACCAATGCCTCTCACGGCGGTGAATGTGTTAATATATATTATATCCAATGTTATAGCGTTCTACGCCTTCCGGTTCCCAATTTCCAGTGCCTCCTATCTTGCCAGTCCCCTGGTTGTAGATTTCTCTCTGACATATAGCTCTTTGTATGCCAACCGTCTAAATTATCTTTGAATTGTTTTGTTTAAATTATCTTTGGTCTACCTCTCCTCTTCCTTGTGTTAATAATGGTGTAATAAATAACATTTTCGTAAAAATTCAAAAAACAAAAATGTGACATTCAGGAGATCTCCTGAGAATTAATTTTGCGAATTACGCAAAAATAAAATTATTACATAAAATATAATTTAAAACGCTTTGAAACACGAGAAAATTGCCAATGGAAGTGCTGGAAAGTTTTATTATTTCAACGGTACGCGCTGTCTGACAATTCGAAATAATTATGCCTCGCATCGGAGTTACATAAATCGCTGTAGATTATTGTTATTGCGCCGACATATAATAAATGATATTAAAATTATCCAATAAGCGATATAGAAACGTGTCTTCTTATAGCAAGCTTAAAATATTTCATGCAACAACAGAAATAAAATTTATTTATTAAAACTCGCTTACCTTTTTAATCTGCGATCTAATCAGTCCTGGAAACCCGCACCAAAGTAGAATGCCGAAAACGACCATACTTCCACCGCCAATTCCGAGCTTCTTTATAGACACCATTTTAACGCTCTGCAGAAACACCAAGCGATATTTAGGCATAAGCACACAAACGGACCGAAATAGACATTTGTATGTTTGAGCGATTATACATACACTTCAAACACTTATAAATTTAAGCGATTGAATAACACATAAAATTAGAAATACACACTTAAGTTTGCATGTCTGTTACATGATTACACATTATTACCTATATATTGGAAATTAATAGCGATTGATTACGACTTATTGCACCGCTTAACTCAGAACATTATCACGCGTTTTCGTAAAATGCTTTGAAAAACGCTAATCAAATCCCCTTGGTCTCCTTTTGGAGCAATCGCGTTTATGAGGAAATATTAATTTTTCACGAGCTCTCTTCTTAATTCGCGATGATCGAAAGTCGACATTAAACGATCGAAACCTTATTGTATCCTTCGAGGGCGCGGAGCACGTTGTCAAACGCTCTGCCGAACGGGACCGTGTACAGCAACTTCGAGCGTTTCAAGATATCGTACGTTCTCCGAACTTCGCGAACGGCGACGTCATACGCGCGTCGCTTAGTGACCATTATTACGCTTGATAATGACACACAGATACATCTGTTCTTGTCGATTTCGCACCACTCTGATTCGAAAAAGACACTTTTCGCTGCACTATGCTTGATAAAGAAAGATTCAAGATTCCTCCGATTGTAATCTGTAAAATTCTTTTAATCGACTTCTCACGTTTATGAAAAATTTCGACTGCAATGTGTAAAAAATAGATTGCGATGGATATTATAATATAAGATGTCAAAAATTAAATGTAACGATAAAAATAATACGTATTTAAAAATATTTTTAAACTTAATAATAGAATAAAATATAAAACAAAGGATATATGAATATATAGATATACTCCTTATTTTATATCTTATTTTATTATTACATAAAAATTTTTTCTTAATACAAAAATTCATAAAATTCATAACTCAGTAAATAACACAGCAAAAATAAATTAAAGAATAATTAACTTATCACAATTTCACACTATATTATGATAAAAATCAAGATGCTCGTTCTATGCCGTGAATATTTTCGTTTCTATTTTTTATCTTAGTTCAAACAAGTAAACTAAGCACATAATTTTTCTTCAATATTTGCGTATTACCAGAATGTACTATCAACATTAGCATTCGATATTCAGTATGGGTAATTTGATACCAAAAATATTCGAAATATCAGTGTCAGAGTTCTTCGCTCAATTCTTCCCGTCGAGTTTTTCGCAGACGAATATCGCTTTACGTTTATATTCCTTTCCCGCCGTTAAATCCCGTCGAAAATGCCGAATCATACGAGCTCGCGGTAAAACTCCAATTTGGTATCCTCATTCACTCGTGGTCTTTTCTTCGCGCAATGCACAGACCGCCCTCGTCCCTTTATCCGAATTTAAAATCTCGCGTAAGTACATATCTTAAACTATCAAGAATCGCGAGATGGAAGCCTCGACCTTCCCGACGTGGTACTGTCTTCGCACCTGTGCGATCTCCCGGTCGAACTCTTCGCACCTCCCTTAACGTCCTCGTCGTCGACGTAGCCGTCGCCGTTGATCGTGCGCGGCTCGTCGCGAACGGACTGCCCGCGCGATAATGACAGCGACTGTTTTACACCAGGCCGGCGTCGGCGTACTCCTACTTGCTCTTGGCCTCGTCTGTTCGTCATGGTCTTCTCGGTTTCCCTACCTAAGAACGCGGCATATCCGGCAGAATTGGATGCACCAACGGCAATGCGATCAAAGACCCGCAATCTTACTCGCTGACTCGCAAATACGTAACGCTGGAGACCCTGCGAAAGTCTTGAAAAAACAATTAGGCTGACCAATTAAAGTCATGTTGACCCTCGCTTTCTGCGTGTTCTTCAATTACATGATTTACTAGTATAGCATATAAATATACAGAAGACCCTACATAGCTCGATGGAAGCGTGTCTGACTCAAATAAATGTACAGAGAGAAGAGTAAACAATTGTAGAAGTTTCGGTCGTTTTGATCTTTACATAAAAGTTTCTTCAGCCAACAAATGACATAGTATCACATCTAATGATTATGAGTGTTATCTAAAAAAGAATATACGCCGACATTGGTAATCATTAGTACTCTACCTTGAAACTGTGCAACAATAAAATGACTACATCACTATAAATATTTCAGTTCATAATAAGCCAAATTCTATTATTCTATATTTGAAACAAAGATACAATATATTAATTCTATTCTGAATTTCTGTTTTAACTGTCTTGTAGAAAAAGATTGGTCTAGAATTTATTTTTAGACTAAAGTGTTGTTAAAGTATGGAATTAATTAATTAGAGTTTTAAAAATGTTACTTTCTTTTCATAACTTTTAGAAGATTTCCAAATTGTTTAATCTTCTCAAGAATAACGACAAAAGAGATTATTAAGTTAATGGCATTATTGATAAGTTAATGGCATACAAAATCATCGCATCAGTCGAAATTTCAAAGTATTTTTCATTATTATTGAAAATTATATTTAAAATAAATTTAAGAAATCATTCTTTAATTATAACAGGAAAAAATAAACCATTGCGATTATTAAAATATCCTATTTTTATTTAGTTTTCAAATATAGATCTTTGGTGAATACCATGTCGCCAAATTAAAAAATATAAGCAACATGGTTGTAATAACAATTACATTATTAATTAATTAAGTGCGATTTACCGATATGCCTATAATACAGATTGCAATAGAAGCTAATGAAGTGAAAAGTAGTTCGATATTGATATTAATCACTGTTTGATCTACAAAATACTCCTGAATCGATGATGGCGACGACATTCATAATACGCGGACGGCTAACAACCATAAGTAGTTTTTTACATATTTATGGCGGTCGTTTGCTGGTGCGTGTATGATGAACGTCGTTACTATAATCGACCTGGAAGTAACAAATATTAGAACTAAAATAACGTTATTCTAATGTCTAATGTATCATTCAACGCGATATTTTTTAGATATTAATATACAATAAAAATATTCAATTAATTATGGTCTGCGCGCGTTTTCCTAACACAAATATATTATTTCTATTTAATTATATCACAATAATTGGGTATGCTACTGGAATAAACTTCGTTGAAATCTTATCAAAATATTAGTCAAGTAAAGACTTTTTCTAAATTATTGTTTTCAATACGGTGCAATCGATATCGCGTCTCCCAATTTTTTCAGTGTCGTAATATAAAATACATAATAGTAATTATTACTCCCTGTCAATTCTAGGTGGTACCAATTCAGCTTGTATAGTACTGACGGTTATCTTCGGCTCTTGCGGCACGTTGTTCTGCTCCTTACCCGGTAGAAGATCCGGTAACGCAGTGTTCCCCGCATTTTTTTCTTTGTAATACCTCATTCCAGCGACGCTCATCATGCCTATACCACCTAGGATCATGAGCCACATCACTATCCTGCAAAGACAGAGATAAATCAGACATCCGCTATAGTAGATTTGGTGCGAGAACAAAAAGTCTTTGTAAAATCGCTAGTTTTTTAGTATGCAATGTCAGGTATTTCATACCGAAGCTAAGTTGCTGAAACAATAACGCAATAGAGGCGAGAAGCTTGCGAAGAGATCAAGGATTAATATTACCACTCACTTCGCGATTTTAATCTGCAAATATGCAACTTTCAGCGGTTTTATAAGAATATCTCCAAGTTCGAGTCCATCCTCTATCCAAAATAATGGGAAGAGCACTTCCGGGAAGTTTTTCATCAAACGAAGTTTGGGGATGGGTCCAACTAGCACGTTAAATTGAATCTTTTTGTACGCTTTTATTGGAGTGCCTGTCATCGGATCAAAGTTGAAAGTCATACGGTGCTTCTCCTGTAACAGAATCTCTTGTCACGATTCTGAACATTGTAATTGTTTGATAATTTGTAGTAACTTGGTCTAAAATTGCCACAATAAATTCACGCTGTTTCTTGAAATTATCTACTATAACCTTATTATTATTTCTATAAAATTAATTTAATTAGTATAATCTCCCTTACTCTTATCTCTCACTTACAATTAATTTTACATAAATTCTATACATTTACATAAATTCTAATTAAATTATGTAAAAGAAAAAAGAAACTATTTCGTGTAGGTGAAAAATCATGGGGTAAAAAATGACCAGTATATTTATTTTAACAAATAAAAAAACAATCGTTAAACTCACGAGGTCGGGATTTAAACCCTCGATCAACTCGAGATATCGTGGATCAGAATCTAAAAAATGAGGTAAACTTATCCTTATAGGCACAGATTTACAGGGCCCTGCGTTATATACATTCTTAGGCATGCATCCTTCGGACTCGAGACAAAGGCACCTCACATCCTCATCCTCAGCTGGATCGCCCAAATCCGCCGAGTAGTGCAGCGTCTTAAAACCTGCGTTGCAAAATTATCTAATGTTGCATCTAAACGAGATTACCTTACCGAGCGATTTTTGTTTCTAAGTGTAGAGTGTCTCAGAATCAACGAAGAGTGGACACTTAACCCGTTGAGGTCACATGGGATCCAGTGGACCCCAGGCTTTTTTTTATTTTTTTCTTAAAAGTATACTATTTTGAGAGTAAAACGCACAAAGTTTTTTTACTCCATCTCAAAAAATTTTGATGAATATTTTTGTGAAAAAAGTCAAATTTCTCGAAAAAAATTTGTTTTCTCGCGTTTTTTCAACATAAAAATTTTTTTTAAATTATTGGATTATCAAGAGGAAGTCATAAATTAATTTCAGTTCAAGGTTTGAGTCGATACATCAAAAAGAACGCAAATGGAAACTGTTGTGGGGTCCATTGGACCCCATGTGACCTCTACGTTATTTTTAGGAGGTGTGACCTCAACGGGTTAAGTAAAATTTGAAAAATATTCGATCCAAAAAGATTTGAGTTCATTATTTAAGTATCACATCTTCACAATTAAACTTGATTTTTCAATTAATCTTTGCATTAATAAACCGAGTTTACTAAATTTAAATTTAAATTTCCCAGTGTTACTATAAGATAACTGAATCTGCTAATCAATAAAATTAATTAGTTTTGCGTCTGGTTATCAAATTTTATGCTATCGTGACCCGCGAAGAAAAATTAGCGAATTTAAGAAATCAGTTAGAAACGGGTGGTATTTTCTCATGGAGTCATGTATACCTTGAACCTTTCCTGGTTCGATGTAGTAAGCGCCGATACTTCGGCAAATGTCTAAAGAGTGTACCCAGACTTCTTTCTCCTTGTTGAGAAACGGTGGAAAGATGGTTCCGTCCGTACCACGAAAATCGTTGCAAGGGCTGCCAGACCACATGTCCATCTTCGTTTCATTTCCTACCGTCAATACACGACCCACGTCTTTGTAATTTTTAATTCCGCGATATACTCTTATGCGTTCTGGCAAAAGACTCCCATTTGTCTAAAAGGCACAGATAGCATTTTCAAAATATAAAAATGTTATATATTTTTTAAATTTAATCCGGAATAAAAAATATAATAATTCCGTCCAGATAAATTTAATCTCGCCCGAATTTAAATCAACCTGTACATCCTAAATACTAAAAATTATTTAATTTTATTTTAATAATTTTGACAACAATGATATTAATGCGTTTTGTGCAATTAAAATAATATATTAAAAATGTGTATAAAAATATCACTTCATATAAGATTTCATGTAAGATAGATAATATTTTTAAGGACAAACGAGCACTTTTCTTTGTCAATATAGTAATATAAAAACACAATAGCGCAAGAAAGTCGTAATATTTGCGTAAATAATGCAAGAACATTACCTTAGCGAGAAAACCATATCTGAAACGTAAACCCTCCTCTCGGATTAATATATGTTCCCTTTCTTTCAACTCGTTGCACACTGCGGATCCAGCGAAATCTGTTATATCCGTGCAGTCGAAACGTATACCGTTAAAGAACAAATCTTTCACGGAGGTTTTGATAAATATCGACTGGGGTTTCTTGAAAACACTGTCCAGCGCTTTGCCTAGAGAGATATCAATAATGTAAGAGAATAGAGATTTAGTTTGCATTATGTAAAATTTTAAGTGAGAGAAAGAAAAAAGCATACGGTATAACATGTACATATTATATGATATCATGTATTTTGAAGTAACTATACATGTACGTGGATTGAATTGATAATGATAAAAAAGCCGAACGGTAAAAGTTTCCAAAATTAATACACTTTCGATTTTCAAAATTAACGAGATCCTTGATTTATAAAATTGACGTGAGACTTGATATTCAAAATTGACAAAATCGCGCCCAGGTAGCAAAATGACGTCTAAAGACGTCTTAATGACGTTAGAGGACGTCATTAAGACGGAATTAATATGTCATTTGACGTCATTCTGCTACCTGGGCGTGAACTGAATATCTACGCGTTAATTAAATATTACATTGAAGTAGACATTTCTTTGATATAAAAATATGCCGTGTACGTGTATTTATTCTTTCGCACATTGTAAATACGTACTAATTACTCCCATCGCGGATGGCTTATCTCTTTGAGCGATCAGAGTTACCGCTATCATGATTGGATGAAACGTGTAAATTTCCGCTTCCTCCGACATGATGCTCTTCTCCTGATTGAAGTACCAAACTTGTCGCAAACTGTACTCAGCAGTATCGTCTTCTTCTCGGTCCACAATGTTCTCCTTGTCCCGATACAAACTGGAAATCAGATTGATGTTCGTCAATTTTTATTGTACTTCTACATGTTATTTATATCTACTGCATATGTAAATTATTTAATAATAAGCGAACGATTTTGCTTCTAAAACAGACAAATTAAGTATATACTTCCCAAATTTTTTTAAAATTTAAAATATGTAGATACATAAAAATTTGCTCATATATGTTATTTTTTTATAGAAATTTATGAGAGATTCAAAAATCGCACTATTTTTGGAACAAGTAACAAATCGCCTCGGTAATCGTAAATTAAGTTATAGTGTCGTATAAAAGAGAGATTACTCACTCGTAGTGAAAAGGTCCTATTTCTTGGACAATCGGTTTCGATCCTGATGCAATCTCAGTAGGGTTTGTTACATTGAAGACATAAATATTAAAATCTAGCGGCTGCGGAAGTTTCTCCCAGAAATCACGTATTTCGCTTCCTTTCTTCAGTCTAATTTGCTGTAAATTTTGTGAAATACAGTATAATTTGAAACGAACTAGACTTTTTTCTCTTAAATTTAATATTCGAAGAATACAAAATTTGACAGATCACTACAGCAACATTTTTGTTTCTAGCATTAAATAATTACTGATAAGTATTAATAATTATTATATTAGTAATCTTCAAATAAAAATAAACAATCTATACATAGCAAAATTCATTTAAAATTAGTCAGAAAAGACTTTATTATCAAAACATTTACAATTTTGAAATTAATTTTATAGTAAATCCAAGTATTGCAAGAATTGTCTTTTTGCAATTCTGATTTCAATATTTCGAACAGAGCTTGCTAGATCGAGGATACTGACGTATTAATCATTACTTACAGATTTAACTTGCGACTTCAACATAGAAGGAAATCCTAGACTATAACTGATAAGCCCGATGGAGAACGTGCAGGACCCGGCGAGTCCCAGTCTTTTCACGGACACCATATTTTTCTAGGAACACATCACACAAACTGAATTAAATTTCTTGCCTTGGAATAATTTCAACAGCAAATTGGCACCTTGTATTCGTCAATAACGTGTAGCACGATGTTGAGAATCTTTCCGATCGTGAAAAAGGATAATAAACGCCTCAGATTCGGATTATGCATCGCGTCGTCTATTCGATATAAAACACGACGCGCGTTGTTTTCCAGTCTTTTGAAAACTTCTTGAAAAGCGCTCATTCGCTGCGCCGACATCTTGACTTTCAAAACAGACAAATTTCTCGATTACCAAATTTGACAAAATCTTGATTCTTAAAATTTACAAAATAAATCTCCAAAATTAACAAGATCCTAAGTTTTCAGAGTTAACGGATTCTTCGATATTTTTTTGCAGATAATAATTTTAAATTGATAGAATTTTGATGTTCGTAAAATTTTCGATTTTTATAAGTATCTACGAAGTTTTTGATCTCCAAAATTATCAAGATCCTGTGTTCTCAGAACGATTGATAATTGGCAAATCTTCTACGCGATTTTTTGAATTTTAGATTTTGCGCTCCCTTTTTCTTAAAATTCTGTCCTCGTGAGGCTTCTGTGGCACACCTGAGGAAATTCTTCAAAAAGATTGTCGATGTGCGAATGTCCACTTCCGTCGATGTCTCGCGCTCCAACCTCGGACGTCTTCTTGTTATCGGTCCTCCTTAGCAATTCTCATCGGCAAGCTACCCGCACCCCCGGAGCTACTCTCGTATTCACACGTTCTCACATACACATACGCATCTTTGTTTGTCCATTGACTGTGATTCGACGACATCGGGTATGTTGCGACTGCGCGATCAGTAGCTTTTGAGTAGGTTTATTGAATTGCGATAAGAATAGCTTTTCAAAAGAGCTTTTCAAAAAGGTTTCCTCCATATGACATTTGTATTTATCAGCTAAAAAAACGAATAAAATAATTATTTATAAGAAATCAGATGTGCAACGAAGAATTATTACCTAATGCTTTCAAGATGGTAGAAGCTTGTATCTTTAAAGAATAACATAGAAAATCTGAAATATAAATTTGTAATATCCAAAACAGACACATACACTTCAAGCAGTAGGGTGAACTCGGGTAAGATGGCCATAGTTTTTTAAAATGCAATAAACATACATTTATTTTTGTTATATTTTAACAGTGTTTGGTATATTCCTTCACTGAAGCTTAAAGTACGTAAAACTATCGAAATTAAGAAGAAAACACTTAACATAAATTTTATATTATCAAAGTATTACAACGTATGCATTGGCCATCTTATCTGACTTTTAAGGAAAAGATGGCCATAGCAGAAAAGATAACCATAGTATTTTTAAATAAATAGTGAAAAATAGAAATACAAATTATAGGTCAAATTACAATTTACATAGCTTAATTATGTGTGTAACGTTGATTACGGCAGCTTAACTATAATTTATTTAATGTTATAACAGCTTTTAGCGGACACATGAAAAACTTTGCAGGCAGTCGAAAGTAAAAATATGATATAATATTCATAATATTATTATTTCAAATAGTGTACGCACATAAACTACTGTAAATATTGATTATCTTTGAGAATGACTACAAAAATGCATTGTTTAGCCATTATTGGAGAAATTACAGCCATGGGCCATCTTTTCCGTATGGCCATCATACCCGAGTTTACCCTAGTAGGATCAGCAGTATAGGATTTCAACAAATTTTTTCTCAATAGAATTTATAAGAACAATATATGTATTATAGAACTGTGCTAATATTAAAATACACTAAAAAATCTAAACTTTTAATATTATGTAATATTTATCATTAATATCTATATTTTTATATAAATTGGAAAATAAAAAAATTATACCACATTTCTGAAAATCTTTCTATCTACTCAATTTAAATTAATCTCAATTTAAATCTCTTAAAAATTCATGAAATATTAAGCCAACACTGTCAAAGTAATGATTTGTCAAAAGAGTTTTCTAGTCCAAAATGTAACAAAGTGTAATTGTAAATTTTAAAGAATTACGCATTTACATAATTAATTTTTTAAATAACATAAAAATAATCATATCACTTAAATTAAAAATATTTTACTTCTATCAGGCACATTTTAAAAATATTAAATTTTGTTAACAATTGATTCTATAAAAATTTTAAAGGAAATAGTTTTTATAACACATATTTTTGCTTATTTATAATTTGTACAAAAACATATTATTCAAATTTTACTGAATAATGCGTCTATTATTATCTATCGATTGTGTGCGCACACAGCTCTGACGTAGCTTAGATATAGTTCAATGGGAAGTACATATCTCGCTATACATTCCTCTAGTTTTGTAACTACAAAAGGTTTAACATAACTAGATACAAAGTGTTTATCATATCGGAACTGTAAATAAAGAAATAAACACTATCAAAACAAATAATAGTCAAACATTCCTAAACAAAATGTAAGGAGTCAACTACAGTTACACATTTTAGATGGCGTGAATTAATAAAAAAAAATAAATAAATAAAAAATATATAATTTATTTTAATTTATCATTCGGCTAAAGTAAATTAAAAATATATTTAAGGAATTAACATAAAAAGAATTTAAAAATTTTAATAAAATAACCGACAAAAGACAAAAATAATTTTATTTTTAAAGATAATCTCTTTTGTACGCGGTTTCCTATTGATACCCCGAGTTCATTTTCTTCGATCGCGACGGCAATGTTTAAGTCGACTTTAAGTCAGTGTTATGGATCCACGCCTTTGGTGTCAAGTGTAACGCCTATCGAGCGCGCAAAAGGCGCCGAAGAATCAATTAAATATGAGCTTGCTATAGATACCCTATAGCACTTGCTACAAGAAACTTTTATACATTATTACTTACGTCTATCGTAGACGTAGTTACCGTAACCGAGGTCCCATTAAAATAAATTACTATATACATATAAAAGAAAACCGATGCTCGTACGTAAGACAAGAATCTAAAGATAAACCACTTCTTCTAAGGAAGTCGCAAATAAGGTTTAGTATGTTGTATGACACAACATTGCGAAGTAATATTAGCAATTAACTTGCACTTTGTGTAACACCTAACATTTAGAACAACATTAGTTCACTGATATACATATAGAAAGGAAAGAAAACAATAGTTTCGATATAAATTATTATTTTCCTATACAGTGGTAAAATTTATCAACATGCTGTATTATTATTAGAGCCATCATAAAAAAAAAGAAATTAAAACTGTCTGCGAAAAGAACAAAGTTTGATGCGTTAGGTAATATTCATTTTTGAATATTAATAATCAACGTAAGAAAAGAATAATGTTATAAGACAGTACAGTTATAAGATAATACAATTTTATTTTTTATTTTTTCACATTCTGTTCCATCTTTTAGTTTCATACCTCTATTTTTAGCTTCAAGTCGTTTGAACATTTAAACAACACGTATATAATTAACGTATATAATTAAATCACAAACTAAATAACGTCATATGTCTTTGTCTATCATAGAAATTCAGGAACTGAATCGAGAAATCAATTCTCTCAACACTGTGAATCACGTCATGCGTAAATAAATAAATTACGAAGAAATAAACTACACTCGATTATCTTATTACACTGTAAAATTCCGATCAGCGAATGCTTCTTTGCGCGACTACAAACAACCGCCAAATTTTTCGCGTGGAAAACTGAGCACCAACGTGTACGATCGCGACTAGAATCTCTCCTCGCAGAGGTGAAGCACTCGCATTCCTTATCGAAAGAGAGAAAATCCGCGTATCTACCTCGCTAAACGGATACTGAGAGCTACGATGGCAGAAAGATAGCGGTTCACCGTAACGGGGTTACGGGTTTCTTTCGGATAGCATAGTGATCTGATGGATGACATGAGCCTTTTCCCGGATGACATAGGGCGAGAACGCGTCCACGTGTTTTCTCGTTTCATTTGCGGAGTAATCGGTGTGAATGATAGTCGATAACCAGGAAACCGTCGCGTTTGTTCACACGCTGATATATCGAGATCGTGTATAGCAACCTTCTAACGCTGCCTGTTTATTTCTGTTGTAATCTACTTGCTGAACAATATGCAGTAACAGAATTAAATAATAATTTTTTCCGAGTATAAGTTATTACAAGAAAATGTAATTATTTCCTTTTTTTTTATCTTTTCTTACATTTGATGTCAATTAGAATTAATCAGTATGATTATTGAAGGCACAAATTATATCATTATTCAGGAAAGTACAGACTGGTATCTTTCAATTATTTCATTTATTAATTTACATCAAAAGGTATCTGTTAATCGATCGGAGTTGGAAATTCGCGGATTCTTCGGGAGTTAGTGAAATGTAGTTCTCGGACCTATAGACGAAAGTAGGATTATATATGCTTCTTAACACGAGCGGTGGTAGCGTACGACGCCTCGCCTAGCAATTCGCTCGTCAACAATGCATGAGAGAGCCGCTACGTGGAAAACGCGACCTTTCCCTGTCGCTTCCATCGGTACACTTTTCCGATCGTGGGAGGTAGGGACGACATTTTCCGCACCGTATCGCTCGATGCGCAAGCACAGGTAAGAGGACACGCGATGGTATATCATTGGCCGTTGAAACCTCCCTCCAACGTGATAATGAAGTTACCAGACAATGCAGTATGTCAAATTTTTCATCGTTTATGCTTTTCGCATCTTTAGGGAGATATTTTCCTACATTTTTCACTATTTTATTGAGCTCAAAGTTATTATTTTTCAGGTAATTACGCACACGTGATTACTGACACATCACGACTTATCCGTCTTTCGATTTTGATAAGCTCTGTAAAGTTAAATATACAACCTGCGTATTATATACTCATCTGTATAATTATCGTTCTGAACAAAAATTATTTGTCAAACATGTATATTTTAATTGTAATATTTATATTAATACGATTAAAAAGTAATATATATCTCTGTAGATGAATGTGATAAGTATCTCATGAGTAATTGTTTTCGTATGATTTCGTATGTTCTTATTCTGGCTTTAATGAAATCTGAAAAAAAATTACATTGTTGATATTTTAAAGTTATATTAATAAAATACTCGTATATATTAATTACAAAATATAATAAAATGTATAGTTTAATTTAATTTAACAGATCATTGATATCGTTAAAGATCAAGGACACGCCATAGCTGCACAGTTTAAACTTTTTTCTTTATAGGTATATAAATGCATAAATAAATTGGTTCTCACCTTGTAACTACCTGACGATATTATTACTGCATTAGTCATGATAAAGATTCTTACTAATAGAACAAGTTCACGCCATTCATATGGTGATAGCGGTATTATTCTCAAGGTTGCTCAGAAGACAGATTTCGGTAGAAGAATATTTATTCGACTTCTCTATTTTTACACAAAATTTGTATCGATGAGCAAAAAATAAAAGAACCCTAGCAAGGTACACGTATCCAAAAAGTATCTTAAGATATCGTTAAAAAAAGACAGGCACAAACATTTCAGTCAGGCAAGATTAATTATGAATAATCAATGAATAATTAAGTATCAAGAATAAATCTATAACAGTAATAAAGTGATTGCACTTGTATTATTATAAAAATTATAATAATATAAGGACATGTTAAGTTATGATATTAGCGAAAATACACCATCGCTACTGTATTAAAACGGAGCTCGATGAGTAGTGCGCTATGGCAGTGCGCTACCAACCGTAATGTGACTTGTAATGCGCGTGTATAGCGACCGGTACTGGGTACGGTTTCGGCACGTGCACAGGCACAGCCACGTGTACGGGTCGGTCTACATGCACGATTTTCTCGAAAGCGACAGGATACGGTTTCGGTACTGGCACCGGGACATGCACCGGCCGATCGACCGGAACGTGCACCGGCCGGTCCACGTGAACGATCTTCTCCACGGTGACGGGATACGGTTTCGGCACCGGCACTGCCACCGGCACAGCGCGATCGACGTGAATCGGCACGGGTATAGCGATCGGTACGTGCTTGGTGATCGGCACCGCTACGGGCACGGGCACAGGCACTGCCGCTGAAAGAGTACAGAGATGTTGTTCACAGACGCATCCATTAATACAATTTAAACAATTGAAATAATTTCGATCTAGTTTTATGTAACGAATAAAGTCCAAAGCCACTAAATAAAATAATATTTCTCTTCTTTATCATGTAAAGCTAAAATGCAATTTATGAGCGTTTCCTTTAGCTAAAGTACGTTTTAATATTAAGGAATTAAGTTATTTGTATCAATATACTTCAATCTCAAAATAAATTTAAAATTAATAAAGTAAAAAATCAATAAAATAAAAATAGGTAAAATCAATAAGAGTTTACTCACCAACTGGATGTCCAACGACGGGGGGTGGCGGTTCCGGTAGCGGGTGCCCAGCGCCTGGGGCTGGAATTTCATAAATCGGCGGGGGCGGTGGTGCTGACGCTGGACCGTACACATGTTCCTGATATTCAGGCAGACCATATCCCAAGCCGTCTAGACCTCTTTTCCCGTGTTTCTTCGCTTTTACGAAAGCGCTTTGTTGCTCTGAATTCTTGTCAACAATAATGGCTGCACTGCTGGCCAACACCAACATTATTACCTGTAAAAACATAACGACGAGATGTCAAGTCGACTGAATTACGTTCTTATACAGAGAAAACTCTTGGAAGGTTGATTTTAAATAAATTTATTATATGAGATGTATTTCACGGCAATTTAATTAACAATGCCAAAAACTATAAAATTTTTTCGAACTTAATGATGCTTTGGAAACTAAAAATCTGATTATATATCTATAATTACAAGTTTTAAACAAGATTTTACTCATAATTTCGTAATTTCACTTCAATTGCTTTAACGTTTTTTAATACAATATTAAATTACAATTAGTTTTTAGATCTTTTTAGATCGCACGGAGTATTAGAAACGATGCACAATCGTTTATTGCAATTCACAAACGATGCACAAATGATTCACTAAATCAACGTTTTTCATCTTTCGCCGCGGTGCATCCGAATGTAAATTACGTCGATGCGAATTACGTCAAACGCGATTGATGGCAATAAAACAAAAGCGAGAATTCGCGCTGGTACCAGGAGAAGCCTCATGATGGGTCGCTCAAGGGTCCCAGTTACCGGTCGCAACGCCGACGAAAAACTGAGTTCGCTCCGGAATCGTGACCCCCATATGTATTTATAGGGCATCAGCACCGATGTGACGCATCGCCCGAACGAAGAAGAGGAGCGATTCTATGAGCCGATATACTTTCGCTGCTATTCGAACCTGATCGATGGCCAAATGGCGGTCGCTTTTCTCTCCTAGGAGATCGGACGAAGACAAACGAGGAAGACGCGTGACGAAAAAATCCTGCAGCACATACATTAGCAGCGCAGTTAGTCGGAGGTTTATCGACGATCGTTCGGTCTACCGATCGTTAGATAGCTGCGATCGCGCCCGATACGTGATTCGACTCAATCACGCCGCGATACACGATTAGAATCGTTCCGCGCGAAATGCATTGCATCGATAATTTACATTATAAAACATACTCTAACTTTAATTAATCTATAAATCGTATTAGAACTTAACATTCTATTTACAATTTTATGCGCCGTATAATATAAAAACCATATAAAAAAGTACGCAGTAATACATTGCACGCATCAAATAATATATAAGATTATAAGTATTTTAAAATCTAACATAAATTATAGATCGTTTAAATTATCACGAAATGAATAAATGATATTAATTTACAGCAATTAAACAATTAATCAATAACGCGCTGTCGTTCGATACACAAATAAAGATGTCCGGTATACAAAACGCTGAATATAAATGTTTTTTAACAATGAATTAAGGAATTAATAATGATGTAAGTCATGTAAGTTTCCCGCGTAAGCAAGGATGAAGATATGCGGCAGCAAATGCAAATGGCGATTCCAGTTTCTTTCAGCGTTTTCCGACGTCCTCTATTCGGTCAACGAGATCGAGACGGGCGCGTTTTCCTCTTCGCTTCCGCATTAACCGCGCGTTAGACTTTCCTAACTTTCATTTTCTAAGTGTCTAATGCCGTCGCGTTCCTAATGCCGACCACGTTATGCCTGCCATTCATTATTCATCGGCGAGTTCGAACCGACGAATGCGTAACAACACGCCCAATGACACTAACGCCCAAGGTTCGCCAGCCACGTATCGCGAATTAGCGGAATGCACATACGTAGTGGTAAAGTACAACAAAGAAACGTTCCGGTAGGCACGCAGTGCGAAAGCCTCGACAGGAGAACAATATGCGTTATTACGATAAAATGAGGAGAACTTTTATTACTTGAGCTCTTCTCTCGTTTCTTTTGTAAACTTCTAAAAGCCTAGACTTTAATTCGCTTTCGCTTCTTTGTCATCTACCCTCTTGCGTATAAATATCAATAATTTATTATATTTAAACGTCTAAAATATTATTTGCCAGTCTATTGATAAAATTTGCAAGAACTTAGCACATTAATAAATGTTATCTACATCTTTTTGATCTATATCATATAAGCGAGAGAGTAATGTAGAGACCAACATGTTGTTAACTTAGAATTAGCTAATCCAGAGTACCAGTATGACTGAGAATTAGCTGTTGCAATTTTATATTCATCCATCGCTCATGCAGACAGTATTAAACGGCACGCGAAATTCTTAAGCGTTTTCCTTTTCACCGTACGTGTGCGGAAGTGCGTTTCCAGGCATAATTAAATAGGTATAGGGATGTAGGTAAGTGGTACAGGTGCTACGAATCGTCGAACGTAATTACGGTGTCAATATTACGAGCACGAGCTCGCAATCAAGTGGGAAACTAGTGTCGTTCTTGGCAGAAGACACATGTGAACTTGTAATATTCAATAATATTCAACACTGCTTAACAATAGTTTTACATCTTAAATAAGTATCCGATATGCTACCTAAATCTGCACGAATTAAATTTTGATTCAGTAATTTAATCAATTTAATATTAATTATTTAATTAATCTGTCAAATATATTGATTGAATATTAAGTAATAGTTATCATATTTTATGGTTGTGATATTCTTTATAATGTATACGTTTACTATAGAAGTTATTTTGAAATGTCACTACAAACTAGATTCATCAGCAACCAACTTTCATCACCGGAAGCTCGGGATATCGATCAACAAGGGTGAATTTCCGATTTGATCGTAAATGGGAACTTGTCCTGCTTCTCGATCTGGACCCGTCAAGTCGTCACTGGTACGATTCGCAAATATAAAAGGCTTCCGTTGTTACAGTCTTACGAACAGTTCGTCCGCGACAAGAGAGCAATGTCGAAGATCTTTGTAAGTAGCTGCATTTTGTCATTTAAGTAGCGTAAATCGAGATTAAAGTTTATAAATATAGAATATCTAGATCATATCTTCCTGAAACGATTAATCTTCTTTTCTAACACTAAAACTCCTAACTATTTTTATTAAATTCACATATGGAGGGGTAAAAATCAGAGTGGTGTAGGTCAAATTTTTTTAAATATTTTCTCGTGTGCATAGATGCAATTTATATATTGTACAGATTTATATATTGTACAGATTGCATCTATGCACACGAGAAAATATTTAAAAAAATTTGACTTACACCATTCTGGTTTTTACCCCTCTATATAATCTTTCACATATAACGTTAATTTATGTCTTGAATAATTAAAGATCTCTCTCTAACAATAAGATATTAGTTTTTTAATTTCATTACTTTGATTCGGTATTTTAGCTGTTCCTGACATTGTTATACACCTGCGCATTCGCGTCGGTGCTGAAAGATGCGAAGCAGCAAAAACGAGGTATCATCGGTAACGACGGGTGGATTGGTCTATCGGGGAGCTCTTATGGACACGGACAACCGTGGTCAATCGATCCCATCCCCTTGAGTTCGGGACTCAAACTTCCCGAAATCAATCTGCATGCAGGGTAAAAATAATCATAAAAATCTAAATACACTTATATATTAAAAATAATCAAGTTGATAAATAATTTAAAATAATTTAGAATAAATCTCTAAATTGTATAGGCGTTTTGCAAGTGTTTTAACATTATATAATAACTTTCACTAAATAAAATACTAACTGAACGAAAAATCACACGAATATTATGGAGTGTTTATAAATATTTTTCAGAGGATTATTTTTTTCCTCGCAAATTATTACCCTTCTGATTTTCTTTTTTTTGTATTTGATATATTTCCTAAAAATCATAGAATAATAACAATGTTATATTTATATTTCGTGCAGGCTGCATCTGGCAGATGCAACTTATGGTAGAGGTGGCGTCGTCCTGACACCCGGAATTCTAAAAACCCTCCCGGTGTACATAACGAAGCACTTGGTGGTGGAGAAGCCGGTGCCAGTCCCGCAGCCAGTGATCATAGAGAAACCGTATCACGTGCCGGTGCCGATCGAGAAAATCATTCACAAACCGGTCCCCGTCCCGGTACCGGTACCTCAGGTAGCGTCTCCGTCAACTTTACTTTCATATCGACGTGTGAAGTCTATTAACGATGATCACTCTTCCTTTCGCAGCAAAAAATTCGTGGAAATTTCGTAACATTTAGTTTGTGTTGATAAGCGAATATTGAGCTAATGTTCTGAACATGTAAAGTCGACTTGCGTCATGGACATCATCTTCATTCGCATCTCTAAAGCTTATTTTCAGAGAAGCCTTGCATTCTCAATTATAATAGAATCGAAACTACAAAATGACCTGGTACTTAAAAAAAAATCACTTCTAAATCTCATTATAATTATAACCGGAGCTCTGATGTTCTTTCCATTGAAACACAGTCATTTGCAATTTCACATACTCTTCTTTTTTAAATCTAAAAACAGATGCCTGATTTTTTTTCTTCATAAATAGTCACTTGGAATGATTTTTACTCCCCAATTTAAAGTCATTGTTATTAATTACATATTTTTTATTCTTCTATAATTTATTAAAGTAATTGAGGACAATATATATATAAAATTACTCATTTTTTTAAAAAGTAAGGAGAAACAAAAAAATATTTAATAAACGAAAGAAGCTCATTAAAATTACCGTAACGTGAGTTTCATTTTCTCATTATTAGAGGGGGGGGGATGTAAAAATCAGACGCTCGTTTAATCGTTTTCGCGGTTCAAGTCGCAATTAACCGAAACGTCTTTCCATTACGCAGGCGGTGCCGATTCCCGTGGAGCGTCCGGTGCCGATCCCGGTGAAGGAGCCGATCGCGGTGCCCGTGCAGCAGCCGTATCCGGTTCCCGTGCGGCATCCAGTGCCCGTGCCGGTACCGGTGCCCGTCCCGGTTCCAGTGCACTCCTTGCCCAGCTTGCCCTTGCCGCCCTCGGCTCTCCAGGTCCAGGGACTCCAGGCGCTCCCGCTGATCCCGCTCGGCGGCCCTGCTGGCGCCATCTACGCGCGCGACTACGCATACGCACCCGATCACCTTTATCCCGTTCACTCGCCGTCGGCCACCCTGCACTTGGACACCGGCATCGCCCCTCTCGCCCCCCTCGCCCATGGTTTCGGTCATGGGCTTGGTCACGTGCTGGCGCACGGTTACGGCCACGGTTACGACCACCACGATGCCCATGCTCATATTGCCCATGCCGACATTGCCGACCATCTTGCCCACGGCCACGATCACAAAAAGAGGAAGACCGACAAGAACTGAACTTGACTGAACTCGAGCCGAAAGGGCGGAGGGTCGTCAAAAATGTATAGAAAAGGAATATATAGAAAAGGACGTTCGACGACGCCGTTTATATGTACATATTTTTAAGGGAAATTTCAGTCGAATAAAAGAAAGGATTCCGATTTACTTATCCGGCGATTAGATTTTTCAGGATTCTCATTAGGATTATTAATTATATCAAAAGCTTATTGTGGGGGAGGGTTTCTTGTGCTTTACGCAAAGTTGCAGACAATACGAAAGTGGAAAAATCCAGAAATTAACTGATTTTGTGGGAACTCGAGAAAGCTGAAAGACTATATAGATGCTTCTCGTATTTTTCTTTTCATAATTCTTGACACAATTCTTTTCTTTCTCACGCATCTCATCCGTCGGCGAAAGGTAGATTGTGCGCTTTCGCGTTTACGCTAAAGGCTAAAATATAGCTGAGACAAGTATTGCCCAAGTAGATTTTTGTATGTATAGAAAATCACTTTGTTAGTGTAATTTCAAAACCATAACAACGTTAATCAACCGCATGTGTGCATTGTAAATTAACAATTTAATATCAAACTTTTAGATTGCCCAGGCAATGTAAATCTTTGAAAGACACTGTATATGAAGCAAAGAAAGATAGAGAAAAAGAGAAGGGAAGAGAGAAAGAGAGAGAGAGAGGGAGAGAAGGAGAGAGAGAGAGAGAGGGAGAGAAGGAGAGAGAGAAAGAGAGAGAGAGAGAGGAAAAAGATACTTTCTCGTCAAAAAGACCCAACATCGTTTCTACTTGACACAGCTGAAAAAAGTATCACGATTTTATCTTGCAATCTACAATTGTGACAAACGAGCATTAAAACGAATAGGTAGAAATTGAAAAAAGTCTTGCAAAGTCATTAACTTCCTCCTCCCTTCCCATCAAACAGGAAGTTCGTTTAAAACAAAATAGGCGAATATCCGGGGTTCATCGGTCCGGGTGTGTTGTCCGAGGGAAGGAGAAGGCAAAGAGATCCCACACACGTTCTTTCTTTCCTTCCTTACTTTCTTTCTTTCGCATCGATTCGCGGCGCGAGCCGTCGACGTCGACGGCCCGTTATCGAGCCCTTTCTACTTCGATCGAAAGCGGAACGCGGTGGACGGGTAAGCGACAAGCGACGCTACACGGCATGGCGAACGAGATCGTTCGGTCTCTCTCTCTCACATCCGTCTCGAGGAACAGCTGATCCTGCGTTATCGAGGGAGAGAGAAACGCCAGGGTACGTGGTACCCCCTTAAATACGAGCCACGGAAACGTCGGCCACGCCGGGCGGTTACCGCGGCTTCCTCGCGCCGCTCTGGGACCTGGGACGGCGGACGGCCATGCGTCCGGAGGCATCCGGAGCCCGGAAAAATCAATGCAACGTGACAGCGCGTAGTGAAGCCCTCCCGTCGACTATACGACCGACCGCAACCGCGACACGTGAGTACGCGCGCCAGGTATTCGCGGAATCGGCGAGATATCTCGCATGTTTTCTCACATTCGGCTGTTAACAGGGCACGCCGAGGTCTCAGGTTATGTCACGACGTCTGGCGTGGTGTAAACACGCGTATCCCCGTATCGCCCTGATCGTGTAAACGCAGCGTCGATGAGGCGGCGCAACCAGAAGACTGACAGGATGCTGAAGCTGGACGAGATCGAGGGCGAGAACGTGCCCAAGAAGACGAGGAAGACCGCGGAGGAGAAGAAGAGCAAGGGCCACAGGAAGAGCAAGCATGCCAGTGGCAGTGGACGTAAGTTGCGAAGTAGCGTGGAAGCTGTTCCGCACAAAGTGGAGCCCCCGGAAGAGGAAACGCCGATGGATTTGCTCTACCTCACGAAGGATCCCTCTGGCGTGTCCTGCAAGATCGAGCCTTCCGTCTCCAACGAGGACAATTACATCCCAATGCCCCCGTTGAGGACCCTCGAGGACGCGGGAGTCAGAATGGAGGAGCTGTTTGAGCAGAGCATGCATAAAATCTCCAAGAATCAAAAGAACGGCAGGTGGAAGCATAGCTACAACAAGATGGTATACTTGCGGAAATGCGCGGCTAACAGCGATCAGTCGACGCAGGACGAAACCAGCCAAAGCACGTCCTCCGAGGAGCACGAGCGTATCCCCAAGATCATCTTGGAGGACATCGTGTACGACAACTCAGCAAAGATCAAAAGAGACAAGAAGTGGACGAAAAAGGTGAATCCCCTATCCCTGCACTACACGGATAAGAAGAGACCCTATCTCAAGTGTCCCGCATGCGGTGCGACATTCTTCAGCCCGAACACCTATCAGAGGCACCTGCTCTCTCACCTGCACGCGACGGCGGATAACGGTTACATGTGTAATTTTTGTAATTACTGCAACGCCGAGCCCGGAATGTTATTTGCTCACTTGACCAAGCATCAAAACCAATGTGAATCCTGCAACGAGAGCCTGCTGCGCAAGGACAACTATGAGAAGCATTATCAGTGCTCGACCAGCTTGCTGGAGTACGGCCTGAAGCGCGATCATCACGGAATGTTCGCCTGCGCGGTCTGCGAGTTGGTATTCGATCTCCTGGCACAGCTGGAAAGGCACTGGTTCAAGCACACCTGTAAGAAACAAAAGTCGTATCAGTGCAACGAGTGTAGCGGTATCTACGAGAACCTGGAGACCCTGAAGAATCACATATGCCTCAAGTGCCCTATTTGCGGCGAGGTCTACGAGAATCTCCACCGATTGAAGATACACACAATGTGGACGAAGCACAACCTGAAGTGTCCGATCTGTTCCTACGAGTTTATTCTCTCCATGGATCACGAGAAACACATGGCCCTACACAGAAAGGTTTATCAGCCCATGAAATCGTCGTCCAATGATTACATGCATTGTTTGCGCGCGGCCGACGGTAAGACATTTCAATGTAATCTATGCGACAAAATATTTTACGCCTTATCCGCTCTTCGCACTCATCTCACGGAGGAGCACAGCGTGGGGAATGTAAAAGTGGAAGAGGAGGAGATTATGGAAGACGACGGTTACGAACTGAAGGGGGACGCTATCGATATCGTTGTAGTTCCTGACTTTAAAGACTCGGACATCTACTACGACAACGAAATCGATCCTTTGAAACAAGAAACCGATCTCTACGATCCGTCATAAAGACAAAAAAAATATCGTTTGAGTTTCTTAAGTCGTGAAAATGAAAGCAACAAACTTTTCTTATGAACGGTCGTTAGCTTTTACTGTTAATCCTCTCGAGCATTCTCGTAATAGTGATACTAAAGTTGAGCTCTCAAATAAAACTGATACAGTTGTAAGTGCCGTTTATATAGATGTAATTTATGCGCTATTTTTAAAAATGTGTATCGTTTGCTTCAGGATTTTTATATCAATTTATACCACAGAACGTTAATTTTACACAGAACACGTTACATTCTTCTTCTGTCTTTTTCTGTTAAGTAAAATATATCGATGATAATTAAACACATATATTAGCGATCCAAAAGTAGATAAGGAGGGAAATAGGTACAGAACATATAGTCGTGAAACGATCGAAATAGCAGGTATTTTCTGATGAACTTAACAAATTCGACCGCCTGCGCTACTCTGTACTGATGTACGGAAAATTATATTGTACTTGAAATTATTCAAAAAAAAAAAAAAAAAATATTAACATTGACCGATGAGAAATAGCAGATATATATCTTAGGTAAAATATGTCATATTTCATCAGTCCAAATATTTTTGCATTTGGATAATTTCACGTACAGTACGGGTTTTAATATGCACTAGCGCAGAGCAGTACAATCGAATTCTCTACAAGCTATCGTCAAAAAATTTAGGAACACATTCAGATAAACAATTGGTAATAATAGCGATTTTGTTATCCTGATTCGTTTTATAGAAACTTTGAAAAACTGCAATAATTGTGGAGCTTAACTGATTTTACGATTTTTCTTTGATCAACAATTTGCTGTTTGTTAGCATGTTAAAGAAACTTTGTGCAGTATTTGATTATTATATGTTGATTTATATACTATCATTTATATATCATGTGCAGTAGTTATTAACAGATTTGTTCAGCGTATGAAAATAAAGTTTGAACCTTGGAAATTCGAAAAGTTTTTCCATGATGTTCTATTGCCAACGTTTTACGGTTCCAAAAAATAAGAATTTTTTTATTATTTGATGTACGAAGTGCAATGTGACATATTTAATTTTAATAATAATTTATAAATCTTAGATATTTTATAATGTTATAATTTTTTTATATTCTTAATTATATGTACGTTATATCTTTTATTTTTATTTATAAGATTAAAATTTTGTTTGTAATTTTTTACTTTTTGTTTTGTGTTCCTAAATTTTCCGAACAATGCAAGCCGCTCTCTACGAACCCGAAAATACAGAATAAATACAAATTTGTAATGTAAATACATTTCGCTATCACACGCTCACTTCATGTGTATCACTCGTTCGAAAAATTGCATCGCAGATGCAATGAATTTTCTTACAGTCTGTAAAGGTATATAATACTGATCACATTATAGGTTTAAATCTCATCGTGTATATTACGTATATGTCAAATAATGTATGTTTATGTAACATTTTTTTAATTATTCCTATATTGAAATATATTTAAAAAAGCGATATTCCGAGCTATCAGTCCTGCTGTAGCCTGATCTATAGTCTCGCTACAATTAGCTTCGTTATTTCGTTAATTTTAATTAATTTCTATTCGCGAAATCTGGCGTTCTAAACATCTAATCAGCGTGTGAGAGACGCGCGGTACAGTTCTCGTGACGATTTATACAGTGACATGAGAATTACAAGGCTAAACACGATGGCATTTATAATGTACGATAAAACACAGAAACACCTTGCAGGGTAATTACTAATTACATTCACTCGTTCAAATTCACTCGTGCATCAGGAAATATTTTGCGGCGTATGTAAATCTAATATCGTAGGCCTATGCTATTATAATTTTACAGCAAGAATTTCCACTCTGTTATGTATTCGTTCTGAAAAATAAATGTTTATTAACAATATGCTCTTTCGTATAAATATTATCTTTTTTATGTTATATATCAAAACAGAGCAAGTAAATTCTCGTAGTCATAGATCAGAATCATTGGTCGCGTTCAGCAAACTAAGCCGCTTAATAGCAATCGAACGTGATTGGCTCTTACTTTTAGAACCAACCAATCAACGCAGAGTGTTGACAAGACGAACTCAACAGTTGTGCAACAGTTGTGTCTGCTGAACGCGCCCATTATATCCGTTTATTCTTTATCGATCGGCATTTGATTCGTAAGCAATTTTAGAAAAAACAAATATGGAGAGACTCAAAAATCTCCACTTTACGAAAATAAGAATTAAAATGTTCGCTGAATAGACAAATTATTAAAATCAATTAGTTAGAACTCTCGATAATGAAACAATAAAGATTAATCTGGCTATGAGAGTTAACGCTGTTATTTTTGCGTAATAAATCAATTTATTTAAATCTTCTTACATTTGTCCGAACGTTTCGGCTTCGCATTGAGCCATTATCAGCGGTATAACAATTACAAATTAATGTTCTCACGATCTCCGTTACGCTGTGGGTGAGTGCTTCGGGACTGGAAAGTCGGAAAGGCAATTTCATAACGTGTTGACGTACGGATGGTATGTAATGTCATTTTCTGTGTATTTACAATGCATATTAGTTATAAGTATAATTATTAAGCAAGAAAGGTTATTTCATTCGACTATAATTATTAAGATTCCGAAACAACTCACCAAGTGATCAGGAGAACGCAACGCAAGCGTAATAATTGATATCGTAGTCATTTATGTATTCGTTATTCAGCAATGCAATTAACGTATAAAGTCAGAAAACTGTCATGTTTAATGATCTGCGAGAGACTGCCGCGAAGTGTTCAAAGTCACACGGTGAAACAACATACAGCGAGATGAGTCATTGTTTCAAATAACACAACGGTGAAAAAGGAAAATAAGTAAGTAAATGAGTTGAAGTATGTAAAATATAAATGTAAGAAGAAATCTAAATTGAAAATTATAAAAATATAAATGACTAAAAACATGTAGTGGCAATGGGCATGCGGAGCCGAAACGCTCGAACAAATGTAAGATTTAAATAAATTGATTTATTACGCAAAAATAACCTCGTTAACTCTCATAGCCAGATTAATCTTTATTATACAATTACATTATATATATCAGGTAGGCATACATATATATAATCGTCGACCATTCATATAATTCTCAGTATATTTTACACAATACGTATTTTTCCTATAATTATTACATGCGCACACATCATGAAGAGTTTGCATATTTAACAGACGATAAATGTACGCTTTATTACATATAATTCGTCCACTTTTATACATATATTTTACTTTTATATTTGAAATCGTCGTTCGAAAATATTGTAAAAATAAAGTTGGTTTCTCTCGAGATGCTTTTTAGTCGTAAGTACAAGTACGTGTTCGATATCCTCGCCTAAACCACAGCCGATCGTTTCAAGCCTTTATCCATTGCTCCACGTATTCGAGCGCGCCCGAAAGAATTCTCTTTTCCGTGACCCTCAGTTGAACTGTCATCCTTTTCATCTGTGGCAACGTGGTCTCCAGTAACTCTACATCATCCTGCAAAAAGAAAGGAAATATTCGTGTTGATTAACCGATCGATTGATATAGAGAAGGCAGAATATAGGCAGACGGCGTAACATCAGGCTTCACTTTCACCTTCAATGTTGTCGGATAATTAGCGATTAAAAGCTGCAGCCTGGTCAGCAAAAATTTTCTGACGTTCTCCTCGACGACCGTCTCCAACGCACAGTCCACGTGCTTCAGGTCGAAGACCTTATCCGAGCGTAACCAATGCGTGAGCTCGGCTTTTCGCATACTGAACACTCGCAAGAAGGCTAATAGAGTATCGGAGATGGGTTCCGTACCCGGTTTTAGTAAAAATTCTCCAACTGACGGCAAATCCAGTTTGCTCAACAGTTCTATCCGCTCCTTCTGAAGTGAATCCGCTTTGCTAATACCAAGACGAAGCTTAAAGCCATCCTGTAAATTGCAAGATATCTTTGTAAACGAAGAGAAATTAGCATTGTGAAATTTGTTTTTTTTTTTTTTTTTTTTTTTTACTACAGATTTCTTAAGGTCGATGTTGATCTCTCTTTAGCAAAGATATATAATCGAACATCAGTTGCCTTCACCGTTTTTCACTTTCAACATTAAACTTTTTAGTAAGAGACCAACGTTATCTTTTAAATAAATAAATGTACATACTTGTTCGTTATCCATGCAGACGAAGCCCGAATGCACGAAGAAATCGGAGTTCGTCCTCGGGCCGTAACTTATGAATACTTGCTCCCCTTTCTTGAAGTCCCTCAACGCGTAACATTCGCAGCGATCCGAGGTCGCGTTGAAGTCCGTCGTAATCTGTAATAATGACAGAAAATGCATTGCTCGTCCGCGCTGGGCTCATTATCTCCGTAACTTACCCTTCCGTTCTCGTGATTGCACATGTCCCACATCGGTATTAAAGCGTGTATCATGCGCGAACCATCCGGACTCGGGATCAGATTCTGCCTCGTCATCACCGTGGAAACTGCCCAGCTGAAAAATTCATTCGACGTTATTACCAGCATCTTTATTACACCCATCCCTATATTAAGATTCTTTACGTTCGGCATCCCAGATCTTTCGCTAATGAAAATAATCTGAGCTGAGAACCGCTCGGATTCCCTCGGACTCGAGGAGTGAAATCCGGCTATCAAAAGTCACCGTTACGACGAATGCGTACGTATACTCGCGTCAATCTCCGGAGCGTGAAGCGCTTTCGCTTTCGGGGCGAAATTGAGGAAGAGCAATTGTTAACTCGCCGCGGGCAGACGGCTGCTTTTTGGACACACAAGAACTTGACCCAGAATTGCGGAAATGAACATACAAGAGGATTCATTACCGCAATTCCGACAAAGCGGACTTTCTCTCTCTCTCTCTTTTTCTCTGTCTGGAGAAACGCACGCTTCTCATCGCGTCGCGCGTTCTCCACGAGGAAGACGATCGCGTGTTACTCTCGTTCAAGCGGGATTTCATCGCCATGTGCGTATAATAAAGCGCCTACACCGTCGTCCACTGTGCCGGTTGCGTGATCGAGCTCTTCCTCGTGTAGAACAAATTAATTCCAGTAAACCGTTTCGAGCTAATGACGCTCCAATGTCCACCGAGGATACGACCTACTTCTACGGCTCTTGTTGTTCAACATTTTAAACGATTTAAATTTCGGAAGAAAACCGGATAGTTAATTTCCAATCATCTTGAATCCGTATTAAAAAGTAATCAGAACTATCCTACAAAAAGGTATAATTGCGTCGACTGGCTGTAAAAAACTTTGTGATATGTACATTGTAATTTTTGTACAATTGACGTAATTTAAATTTTTCATAGCATAGTTCTGTTATTTTTTCATATAAACTCACGTATCTTTTCTTAAATATAGGTTTAAATAATGGAAAAAGTTTCTCTTTAATTCAGAAGAGAATTCAATTTGCACAGTTCTACGTATTTTGTCTCGAACTTTATCTTGAAAATATAGATTGTCTAGCAAAGGAGAACGAGATTGATTCGCGAAAAAGTCAATGACCCTGTGCGAAATATTTAGATCCGATTGAGAGATAGGTTCGCAAGAACAGGTTTCTATATGCAATACCGCAAAATAATACGTCATTACTTGGTAAACCGCTGTAATCTATTACGCCGCGCGCGAAAAAATTGCGAGCGAATAATCAATAGACACAGAACAATCGTGTCGCAATAATAGAAATAAAATTTTAGCGAAAAAACAAGCTTTCTTCGTAATAATTATCAGGCATCCTCCGCCACAATATGCCTCAATGCCGGCTCACTTCTTACGATAAAGAGAATAACATTTCACGGTCCGTTGACAGTTCGTTGCATTTATCGGCATTCGAGCCGATTTTATAAATTCGTGTAACTTGTGGGAGTCGCACGAAGCGTGTCTTACATGCAATAAGAAATTGCACGAAGATTACTCGTGCGTTAAAAGCAATGATAGCACGCGCACTCGTGCATCGGGGCGCGAGGCGCGAGCGCGCAGAAAATGAAATTTTCGAAAAAGAATTTGATGAAACCGTGAGATTTCGCTTTTGACACGCTTCATAATTCGATGTTGCAACGAGATCGCAGTTTAGCGCGAAGTTTCGTTTTACACATACATTTTTTTTTCTCCTACACGAAATCATAACAATAATGCAGAAATAATCGAGGCGATAATAGTCAATCCATTGAAGCTCATCTGCACGGAGAACCCTTTCGCTTCCAAAGTCCTACGCTTAAAAATAATTATCGATGTAAACCGTGCGTCGTGAAGAACGTTTCGTTCTTCAACACCTTCGAGACGTTAATCGAGATGCGTTAGACCGGATTTGTCATGAAAGTTCGGATCCGTGTGAAAGTGCGCGAAGCAACGCGGCAACTCTTTACGAGTTCCCTGAGCTCTCGCGGATCGAGATACTTATACGCGAGGCGAGGGATATCGTCGAGAGTAGCGAAGCGCGCGTTCTCTAATATTCTTGCACACGGAGGAAAGGCCCGTTCCGTCGCTGTTTCCTCGACAACGCTCCATTTGCATGCGAGCGAGCGTGCGTGCGTGTGCGTGTTCGCCGCATGCTGCGAAAGCGATCACGCGTATCTTTCGCGGGCTCCGCGCGACAGCGTTCACCAACGTCACGCTGGTAACTGTATCATTAACAATAACGCACCGGTAAGACCGGTGAACGCGATCCATATCGCGCGCAATGTTTCTAGCATTTTCTGACGCTTTTTTTTCGTACTTACTGAACAGACAAACTTTCTGTATCATTCACTTGGTGTTTATTAGTACGATAACTTTGAAATATTTCAAAGCGACGCTATATATTTTATATATATTGAAAATATTATATGTATGCGTAAAGATCTTTCATAAGAATCCTATTTATACTTGTAGGGGAATGACGTATTCGTATCGTTAATATAATTAACTTAAATCAGCTGCTAATAAGTTGATATCTGAGCTAGTGGAGCACGACTACGTCAATGCTGTATAAAGATTAACATATCGATGCGTACAGAAAAGATTGCTCAAATATTGCTCAAGTTTTCATAAGGCGAAATTGACGAGCGCATAAATATATATGTAATAATACGAGCAAAGTCTCTATAATGACGGGTAATATAGTTAACCGGGACAGGAACATTGCGGGAACAGAATTCCCGCGTTAGAAATCTTGAACTGCCAACACAGCGTTTTTGCAGCAGTCATTAATCAACGTACTTGCATACAACGTCTGCGATAGCATTTACATATCAATAGAAAAAGAATCCATTGGAATATAAACTAGGTCACTGGAAACTGAATATCTAATTAAAAAATACGAGTAACCTATATCTAAAATATAACATTTCCTACATTTTCTTAAACGCCTCTCCAGGACAAGCTCCGGACTATCAATTTTGCCGAGAAATCGAACGAAGAGTTTGGATATGCAAATGCAAAGTGTTATATTTTCTTATATCGACACGTTAAATTGGAAAGTATCGCCGATGTTTACGCGCTAGTATCATCCTTGTGGGTTACGAGAACACGGAATTTCATTACGCACGGTAAGCTAAGGCGATCGCTATTATTTCCAGCGTGTCCAAGACCGGTCGGCCGATCGATCGCGGCCCTTCGCCGCGGCACGGCACACGGCACGCTCGCTTATCGCGTAGAAAGTGTACATAGAGAAGAAATCTCACGATCTCCGATTCATCGCGTGACCTTCCCACGTGCGCTCGAGTGTGCATCCAGTGCATCCATCCACGGTGTGCTATTAGTGAAGCCCATATATCAAGCGATTTACAAACTGAAGCTCATTTCCTAAATATCGAGTACCGAGTCTGCATTTAAAATAAAGATCACTGTCCCTCGTAGCTTTAAGGCTTAACTTATTAATTATATTTCTCAACTGTAGTGACATTTTGTGTTGTGGGACTTGAAAAGTTCCAAAAGAGAGACCTATGAAATTGTATGTCAAATTCTATTCAGCGTTATAGATTATCTAAGGCAAACTCTTAAAAAGTTAAGACAATGCAGTCGGCTCCGGTGTCTATCTGAACCACGGCGAATTGCGAAAGAACCGCATCGTCATTATCCTTGTCCTCTCGTCATTGTCATTACGACGTCGTCGCTTCACCGCGCGGTTCATTAGCGTCGAGCCCGCGACAGCCGCTCACATCCACCACCGGGGAAAACCTCGTTAATCCTATTCGGTCGCGTTACGTGTTAACCGCGCAACTATCTCTATCTGCGTGTTATAACTAGCTGCATAATGCGATAATTGATACAAACTTTCCGCGAGAAATAACGGATTCACACGCAAGTTCTTTCGAGAAACAACAAGATTTCGTTGCTGGTCGCGACCAACTAGATTCTTCCCGCGTAACAGTAACCCGCAAGAGTTATGAGAAAGAAGTGTTGTTTGTTACTTTTTAATAATTCGCCGTTTTAAATTCGTGAAAGTACAAAGACGGAAAAATAAACGGTAGACTGAACAAGAGAGATGAATACACAAAGAGAAAATGATAAATGTCACCAACTCAAACGCTGAACTTTTGCCAATATTAAAGGTTTCTTAAAAGTAGGATAATATCATAATTCTCGGGAAATTATCACAAATTTTGCTGGCAAGAGGTATCATTTTAAAGGAGGAGAAAGGAGGAGAAATCACGGCTATTATAAGTATTGTCTACGTAAATTACGCGTAAAAGAATAGTTTGCATAGCCCGTTGTTGCAAACGATCGACACACTTCTCTACTTTGTGCTCACATTTGCTGATCGTAATTTGTAAACGCTGCAATATTTGTTAAATACACGCTGGCAAAACGCGATACCTTATTTTGCCTCACTTCTCCGACCGTACGGGAAATGCCCTTCAACCTTACGTGTAACGATGCAAAATAACGTGGATTCAATAGCGACTGACAAAATAAACGCAGCGCGTGCACGTTATCATATAAAATTAATACCTGCAACTCGCGTAGTTTATTGCTACGCGTCTAAGTATCGCGGAGATATATACGCGAAGAGTCGTATGAAATCCCGCAAGTTTTATCGCAATCGAAGGCTCACGGTGACAGATATACGCACGCGGCATTTGCATTAACAGAGTTCTCGCTTCGGAGTACTTAACGACTTCCTCCTTCTTTCCCACGTGATCGCGCGAAGTCTCAGCAGTCAGCCCAGTCAATCGCGATAAGTAAAACCAATAATTGAGACATCGGCAAGTAAATTAACTGCAGTCTATCGATTCTTAACGGCCACATAACACGCAATTACATTTCTTTATATACCTATAGCGGTTATTTAATCATATACACATATCCTTGCGTCATAATTTTAACGATAGCGTTTTTCTCCTCTCGCAATTATTGCCTATAAGACACGTATTGAATGTTCCATATCAGGTTTCCGTAGCAAGTTTGCGTATCGTCAGAAAAAAATGCAACCTTCGCGATGGTGCTTGTAATATTCCATTTTAACGCTCGATCATTTGATACTCCCGGTTGAATATTCGCCGGAATAGTGCTGAACTTTCTCCAACGTCATCTTTTTCCTTTTTCGCGACGCTCGACGCTGCAATAACGCGCTTCCCAATTTAGGATAGCGAGCGCTCGGCGCTTCCTCGGCCGATCGCGGATATTAACCGATCGAATCGCTCGGCTTGCGGTCCGGCGATTACCGGAATTCATCTCTCCGTGCCGCGATTCAGCTATACGAGGAACATCCCGAGCCTCGAGAGCGGGCGATCGCGAGTATAGCCAGCCGGTAGAGGAGACTCGCGGTGGAAGACTCTTTTACTCCTCTCGAGTTTCACCGGCTTACTTAGGAGCGCGCGCGGAGAAAAGCGACGTCAGTTCGCAGGGGCGATTTGCCGAGGACGCAGACGAGCGGTCTGAGCCCGCGAAAGTTTTACACCCGAGCCGAGAGACACGCGAGAGACGGCTCTCTTTCTCGCGGGATCGAAAATGGAGAACTCGGCGTCCGCCGATCGCGATGTTCTCGCCACGCGGTAACCGAGAGGAAGCTCCTCCGACGCGGGAATAAAAGAAAAACTGACGAAGCGAAAAAGGAAAAGGAGGTGCAAAGAGGAAAGTTACGAGCGGGACAATATTTCTCCAAGTTTGTTTCGTTAAAATCGCATATAACGTTGGTAAACACGAGTGCTACACGATGGATTAGAAACGTCGGTGCAAGCTTGATACACCGGACTGATTAGTAATTACCTTAGTAATTACCTACGCGAAAATAATTACGAAAAGTTAATTACGAGATCGTTCTGTAATTGACTATTTCTGTGCGATCTCTCAATTGATTCGCCGAATTAGAAATTCAGTGCGCGTTTGCCTGATGCATGGTTCTTGAGAGGATCTTAAGTTTGTGCAATCGGAAGAACGCGATCTTCGTTATTCTGTGCGCAATAGTGATTTACGTGCACCTCATCGCGAAGAGCGACGAGACAAGGTGTCATACCGGCGGAAGGGGATCGCGGTGTCGCGAGGACCGGGCATTGAAATTCCTGATCGCCCTGTAACTATGCAGAAGGTCTTCCCCGTGCTCGCGCTCATCGCATTCGCGTGTGACATCTCGCGCGACGTTCTGGTCCACGGTGATCCCGCGAGGAAGCCGGAAGCTGCGGGACGAAACGGCGGCTATGAGTACCAGGTAACCGCGAGAAAAGCATCGTTCTTGCCCGGATGAGCACTGCGACGAAAGTGTGACATTCCTTCGAGTAAATGAGATGTCACGTGCATAGAAATCTCTCATCCGATCGTAAATCGAGAATTCGAACGGAAAAAAATTCATCGAAAAATTAGCCAAAAGATTAATTTTTCGAAATTTTAAATAGAAAAATTATCGAAAAATTTAGCCGAAAGACTGATTTTAAAATAAATTTAATTTAATTCTCAATCCGTGAAAATCAATTACTTTCAAATGTGATAAAAATCGTTCTCGAAATCGTTCTTGAAAATTACATAAAACATTTTCTATTTTATAATAAACATTGCGCATGCAATATTAATTATAAAATGAAAATTTTTTTATGTAATTTTCAAGAACGATTCCGAGAACGATTTTTATCACATTTGAAAGTAATTGATTTTCACGGGTTGAGGATTCCGCCAATTTTAGCGTGAACTTTTTGGGGATTTCATCAATTTTAGCGCGAACTTTCTGGAGTAACGATTCAGACGCGAAAGGGTGAACGACCGTTTTATCCGTCCGCAGAGCCGAAAGTCATACGACTGACGCTTTTAACCGGTCGTGATTTTTCGCAAAAACTGGTAGGTTGCGAAGTTCTGTGACATTTCTACTGACATTCGTCACGCGGTATCTCCCGAATGATTCTAAGCCGAGCACGAATATACGTATATGGACGCATGTCCCGATTGCGAAATAATCGTGACGTTCGCTGGTGACAGGTTCAACCAAGTTCCGCCGTAATTACGTTCGTTAGGCGTCGTTAAACTTGAGCGATTCAAGTTAAGCGTACGGTGTTACGAACCTTTTTAATTCGCGTCTTCGCGTGAATTACAAATTAGAAATACAAATTCGACAGAACGCGCTTTGTAAAGACATTACAGTTTTTATAAATAGTTGGGAAAATTTTAACGAAATTAGTTTCATTGTACTTTTTAGACTATATTAGACATTATTTGCCATAATTTAAATTCTCCTAAATTAATTCTATTCTACCTGACATATTTTTTTCTTTTGCTTGATTTTTCAACAATGCAAATTAGCGAACTTAAAGAGAGTTTTTCCATCTTTTATATCACGCATCTTTCCCTTTAAACATTAAAATCTTTGCAAGTAAGATTCGCTGAAGCGTAAATCGCTGAAACTAGTTTCCGATTCCCCGTGCGTACGAAAATTACCGACACCTCAACATCGAAACGGGCCTCATTCTTCTATCGTTTATAACTTCAGGGAAAATGCACGATTTCCGAGCAGCCTTGTAAATCCGCTTGTATCTCTCCATAACTGCCGTTGTATTCCGCGAAATTGGCTCCGAGATCACTTTCTGCCGGGGTGCTTTTCCTCCCGGAATTTTTCGCCGATGCGTCTGATGGCCGCGAGATCGATGCGCTGCGACGAGAAAACTCGCGCGTAAACCGTGAGAGAAAGAGAAAGCTGGTACCGCGCGCGGAAAGTTCGAGACTTTACGAGCGTTTTGTCGCGTATTTCGCCGTATCCCTGATCTCGGAGCCGAAGGCGAGGACGTGAAGAACCAAATCCAGCATGAAATCCGGCCTTCGAGATAGAAAGAGAAAGAGAAACGGAAAACGCTCGTTTAATAGTTAAAAGCGCTTGCTCGGGGCAAATTCTCTCTTTAGAATTGGAGAAAACGTACAATTATAAATTTAACAGCTCACATTGTGGAAGGTAAAAATATAGATTCGCGTGATACACGCTGGAGCGCCAGCGCTAAAAAAAAAGTTTGTGACAAATCCGAAAAGATCGTCGGCTCGCAAGCGAAATACAACGGAGCGTCGCGTTAAATTACTCTCCCGCGAGTTCCGTCACTCACGAGAGAGTAATTGCGAATAATTTCCCACGTGGTTCGCGAATATATACGAGAATGGACCGTGGAAAATGGGTACGCGCGCGCGTGATTTTTTTTTGCGGCGAGAAAGCGAAGTGAAAATCATCCGCGAAAGCACGGAACTTTGTATTAATGAAGTTACGAAATGTTTTAATATAACGCTAATGAGGCGATTGAGCTAACGCCCGCGCTTATGAAACGCCACAATGATTGCTCGCCTATATTCGATCCGTTTTCGTCTAATGCACGAATACTTTAATAGCGTAATGGAACATTTCGATAATGAGGAGATACCATTGTGCGAAATAATCTTAATTTATTAGATCTCTAATATAATTATAAATATATTAAATAAGAAAAAATATATATTAATGGGCAAGTGTGTCAATTAAAATTCATACGTCAATTATTTTACCCATTGTAAGCAAATAATAATCCAAATTGCTGTACAACAATTTCAATGGCGAATTAATTTGGCTGTAACAAGATTGTCTCTGCGAAACGAGGACGGAAAAAGCATCTTCGAGCGAAGAATCGCGCGCGCGGCTCTCTATTTCGCACATTCTCACGCGCGCGCGTCCGGCTTGCGAAAGTAAAAGCGAGAAATCGCCAAATCTCCTTTCAGCGTGAAGAAGATCCTGACGAATAATCGGGAGATACGATGCGCAAGATCCAGTGCTCGCGACGCGTGCTTCCGCGGCGCGCTGTCAGCTCGCGAAACACGGTTTTTCAACGAAATTTATGGCAAACGTAAAAAGTATCCCGAAACTAACGGTCGGCGGACGTCCTTTTAATCTAGAAACTTTCGCGAACGGCACATCGAGGACGCGAGTAAATCATTGAAAGTTGACTCTTCCTCCGATCCTCCGAGTGGACTCTAAATGTTAGTACAAGCTGCGCGAGCGCGTGATTCGATTAAAAAATATAATCTTTCCGGTGGAAAATCGGTACGCCATTTATGTAAACGTTCCGTGTAGATATTTGTAATGCGTTACAAACACCTCAATACTTTCTATCGTTATGGTCGTTGGCCTTTACCGTCGCTCACAATCGTATGCCTCGTTTAACAACGATTTCCCGCGTGACTTATGACGAATCGCAATTTGCCAAAGTTTAATTTTATCCTTGCGTGCAATTTGAATAAGTGGTAAATATCCCAGCTAATTTGTTCCCATAACATTCATGAAGAAACAAATTGATTTCTCGAACGTGATCGTTAAACATTATTATCAGGAAACTTGTTCTGAAATAGGAAACAATATTTGCTCTGCGGAATATTTAAAATTACTTAAAATTACTAAGATCAAAAAATAAAATAATAATAATCTTGACTAGATGATATCGTAAAACCGCATTTCAATATTAAAATATTTTCTCGACCATGTTTCGCACAATTTTGTGCAAGATGTTTATATGCATTTAATTAAGATTCATTAAAAACTTGTTATTATAGATTTTAAGAAACTGTTTATTCTTTCAGACGGAACCACGTGGGCAATTCGACGACGCGGAAGTGCCGCAGAGTACCGTGGAAAATCGCGAGCGATCGAGCGAGTCTCCTGTAGGCAAATGGAGAAGCAACGGCGAGGCTCTCGAGCCGAAGTGGCGCGACGGCGACTCCGTACCTCTGCTACCGTTCTCTCATTACCGGTCCTACACGAGGGACGAGGTCGAGGATGCTGAGCAGGAGGACGTACCGGAGACGAGTCGCCGACCGTTCAAGTATCATTACGCGATCGATCAACCGGATCGTCCTCGAGGGAGTCCGGGCAGACGATTTCCGCCTCCGGACGCCTACGACCACGAAGCCACGTACCGAGGTCGGGACTACGAGAATCCCGATGAAGATCATCCGCGCAAGAGACGTCGTCCGTTGAAGAATCTGCAGGGTCCGACGTTCTACGAGGAAACGATCGACGGCGCGGCGAGCAACGACGGGAAACGCGGTCGTAACGTCGTCGACGGTTCGTTGAACGATCGGGAAGTTACCTGGAGGTATCGCGAGGCTTTCCAGGCACGTCCCAACGAGTACGAGCAGGAGTTCAGCGACGAGGAGTACCTGAGGCCTCGCCCGAGGAAGAGGCGACCACCGCAGAATTACGAGTTCGCTCTGGCGAACGAGGCATCCTCTAACGACGGGGACGAGGAGTCGAGAAATTCCCCTCGGCAATCGCCAAAGGTTGACGAGACTCTCCCGACGGAATCGTCCGACCAAGAGCGAGAGAAAGCGCTCGAGTTAAAGTCTCTTCTAAAGATGCAGCAGGAGGAGGGTTCGAGCCTGTCGGAGATATTGCAGCGTAAAAATCTGACCCTGAGCGATCTCCTGAAGGGAAAGGCCGACGTCATCAACGCCCTGAAATCGAGAATCACCGACGAATCCGACGAATACATCGAGGAGATGTCGAGGGTGATGTCCGACTCGCTGATGAAACTCGCCGCGACGGTAACACCACCCTGGGGCTCCACGCAATCGTCCGCGACGTTCGAAAGTACCACGATAAAAATCACGACTTCGGATACGATCCCGGAGAGCTCGGTATCCCAGATGACGGCCGTCACGGATGAAACCAAGAGTCTCGAGATTTCCGCGAACGACAAGAGTCGCGAAGAATCGGAAGATGCCGAGAAGATGACGCAATCCGCGCACGATTCCCCGTGGCTGAGAGCTCCCACGACCCCCCTGACACTCTCGACCATCACCACGTCGACATCGCCGCCGCCGATCGCGGTGAATTCCGCGGAGTACTTTCTGAACGACGACGGCAACGCGGAATCGACGAGCGACCGCGCGACGAGGCTCGAGAGTCTCGACGAGGACGAGATCATGGAGTTCTCGGACTTCACGGATTTCAAGAAGGGAAAGAGTCAGGCGGCGCCGGTTTGGTCGAGCCCGCCGAGCGAGAGGATCGACTCGCAGCAAGCGCTTCCTCGCGACACCGAGTCCACTTTGAGCATCGAGCAGATTCTCAATCCCACGGAGCGGACGAAGCCGGCGGAAGGTCGTGAGAACAATCAGGATGACGACATCGGCGGTAATAATGATAGAAAAACGGCGCGGGATAACGGTCAATCAGTTCCTATCGGCGTGCCTACCGCGGAGGATTACAACACGTTCGTCGATGCCGAGTATCAGAATGATGCCCCGAAGATGCTTCAAGACGGAAAACAAAGTACGATAAAGGATCACTCGAGTGAAACTGACGCTGTTGTGGATCAGGTTGAGAAGAAAGAAATCGCGAATCCGATGACTGATGATAGAAAGGAACCATATGACAGAAATCACTCGACCGAGTATCGTCAGGTGACCCAATCGCCAGGAGAAAGAACCCGTGATCGCGCGTTGGAGAATCATCGGGATACGGGACGCTACGAGGAGGTCATCTCCGAGATCGAGCCGGAGGCGCGAGCGGAGATCTTCGAGCTGTTCGCGTCCGGTTCAGCCGGCAAGCGACTGGAACGTCTTCTCAAGTCGAGGAACATGAGCGTGGAGGAGCTGATTGCTCTACGTCAAAGGGGCTCCAGCAAGGTCCACTTGACGGAAGTGTCGCAACTGAAGATGTCCAATCCGAAGAACCATCAAACTTTGGAAACCTCCAATATAAACAACGGAGAAATGATCGTACCACTCCCGCCCACAAGCAACTCTAACAAACATTTCAACGAAGATAAGATCTCAGAAAAAGAAGACGCGAAGCAAGAAGAAACGATAAATCAATTCAAAGACATCATGAGCTACTTACACAATCCGTTCTTCGACAAAGACGTGGAGAACATGTCGATGTCGAGACTGTTGGATCTCGTCGAGCGCGACAGAAACGTGCCAGGAGAAACGACGTACCCAGAAAATGATACGCTGAATGCCGATGAGCGTACCGATGAGCAGGAGAATTCTCGTCGGACGCTGCAGATCGTCGACTTGCTGACAACATTCGGTTCTCTACCTTTCGCAAAGGATGTGCAGCGGCAGTTCAAAACTGAAATCGATAATAACGAACATGAACTAAAAGTGAAGCTTCCGGTAGACAACGATAACGCGAGTGTAGTGGTGATCGATGAGGAGAAGACTCTACGATCGGATAACTCCACCGAATTCCACGCCGGGTACGTCGAAGAGATCGTGAAGGAGGAGCCGAACGTTATCGATATAAAAACGGCGGTGTATGGCGAAACGGTGAGCAACACGAATGACGGAGACGAAAAGAAAACTCTGTCGAAGGTGAAGCCGAGCATAATAGCGAGCGGTGCGATATTAGGCGTGACGATCGTCGTGTTCCTGGCGATCTTCATCGTGTGCCGGATTCGGCAGAAGCAGAGATACACGTACAGAAACACGTTCTCCCGCGCAGTGTTCCAGGGCCCGGTTATGGCGGCGAGGAAGCTGTCGAATTCCAGCAGCTTGAACGCCGTGATGGTGAACGTCGTCGCCACGTCGACGACCAAGAGGCCCGAGAGAACCGAGACGCAGGAGGCCGTGGAGGATTTCGACAAGAGCGATATGGACAACGACTCGTTAGACGCAAATGATAGTTGGGAGACGATACCCGATTACGCGAAGTAACTCGTTGCCGGCACACGTGCACGATTAGTCTGTTAGTTCGGTGTAGAAGATTCGTATATCAGCCTTGTTTATTAAGTACAACTTGAAACACAAACTTAATTTTTCGTTTTAATTTCATAGTAATATTTACTTTGAACAAAATTATTACCATGAATTTTTTTATATTGTTTGTCTATTAAAAAAATTTTAAATCTTATTTTCGTAACATATATATTATTTAAAACAAAAGATTAATTGAGACGTGTAAACCTTTTGCGCCAATCTAATAGAAAACTGCCAGTATTTTCGCATATACTTATCAAAGTCAAGGATGAGTTATACTTCGAAGGCTGATTGAATGTCTTTAGAGGAGAGAACTACTTTGATCGTTAAGTTACTTGTCGAGTTATCTTACTGACAATGAGAAGAAAGTAAACCAGTTCCATAGTATGTATATATGTACTTCTCTAAATTACAATCAACCGATACAAAATTACGATAAAAGTGCAATTAAAATACGTAGTTAAATTATTCTCTAAATAAGATTTTTTAATCACATCTGAGAATCTTTACTATATAAAACTGCTAAACTATTTTGCTGAACTTCCACGCATAGAATAAGATGTATTTATTTATAGGTTTATATATATATCTATATTGTAAGAGTTAAATTTTATATATAAAATTGTAAATTTTATTCACAAGTTTTGATCGATTTGTGATTACCCTTATTTAAAATTATTATAAATCGCTCTAATTACTTACCAATATCTTTCGTAAGTGAAAACATCTCTGAGTATCGCTGAGACGGCATTGTTGGTATTTTGAAACACTTTGTTAAAGTAGGAATACTGCCTCGCGATGTTTCGACATTGTTTCAATGCAGCCTCTATAAAAATTAAGAATATGAAAACTAAGGACTATAAATTACGAACTACAGACTATACTAAAGACTGCAATATAAACCTATTACTGGTATGAGATTAATATTATCTTTTACATGTCTGTCAAGTATAGACCGATGCACGAATGAATGTAAACTCATCTTTTGGATAAAATAATGTAAAATAAGGTTTGTAAAAACAAATTTTTACATACCTAACGTGGGACTGCCTTTCAATTCAATCATATCGTTAGTCTTCATGTACAAAACTGTATTATAACTGCTCGGAAGCATATCGAGATAAGGCTTCCACTTGGAGTTCTCCTTGTGTCTCTCTATGAGTAGCGCTATGGCCAGTGCCACTTGCGGCATGTGCTGCACCAGCGGATCATTTTGCAGAACGGTCAATTCCGACGCTGCGGTATACGTGCTGAAGATGAGTGCTCTGGGTACCTCCAAGATCAATTGATTCTCAGCGAAGTCGGTCTCCGCCTTCAGTCCCAGATCGTATCCTGGAAATTCGGCGATGCTCAAGCCCTCCACCCTCGCCCCATTCTCCGTCAGCCAATTTATGAATTGTCCAATCCCCTGGGATCGCTGGGACGATTCCGTCTTCATCTCCTCCAGACGTTTAACCTTCAGCAGAACTTCTGATATATCCAAGTAGTTGTTCCATGACTGCGTCACATACGCTGGATTGCTGCTCACTGCAAACGCACGAAAATAGCATGTAAAAACAAATAATTCTCTCAGCGATAACTATAGAATAGACTCCAACAGTCAGATATGTGAAAGCAGAGTGTGTAATATCATAAAAAATATATATTAAAAAACTCTTGACACGTATTCATTCAATCTCTTCTAGTTTTAAACTTTTCATTCGTTTATTCATTACCACAAACGTCATAATTACAGCAGAAATCGCTTTTGTGGGAAATGCAAGAATTTATCTCTGACGTGCCGAGAGATGTCGAGAAAGAATTTGACGTGCGGGAATACTCACGATGAAAGAGTTTCTCGCACAGGACATTGAGCTCGTTCCTCTTCGCCGCGGATATGTGCCGCTGTTGCGGTGACGGGCCCGGTTGTTTACCCCTGGACGATGCATGAGCCTTCTTCCTGCCCATTTTTGTCTACTATCTCACGGCGCTCTCGTGGCTCCCCTTCGCATTCAGATGCATTATAATGCGTAACGCGCGGCGCCTACGACCACCAGCGAGAATAAACAGTTTTCGCCGCAACGAAAATAGCACGTACGGACGGTCTGCGTGCAACGCGGGTGTCGTAACATACAACGCGCGACATAACCTCCAAGCGCGATCCCGTCGGCTCGCCACGCCGCGTCTATTGATTTTCCAATTTCTGCCAGGGGTCACCTACTTTCGCGGCTACTTCCCGGCTGGATCGCCCTCGATCATTCGCGTCCCGTCTGAGCCGGGATAATTTCGGAATACCATCGGGTATATCGGGACGATACGAATTTTGATGCCTTCGCTGCAAATCGGCGCGCCAAAAATTCACGATTATACAACAATAAACTTTAATCGACGTATATGCGAAAAATTAATTCGATCATGCAATTTCTAAACACGTTTCCTACGCTTCGCGACTTTGATATGTTTGTCAATTCAAACAAGATTCGATTATTAATATAAATATATCGATTTGTAAGTAAAAATCAGACGGAATTTTCTTTTCATATTGTGATCTTTCGTTTTGTTTATCTTGTGTTCATGAATTTATGTATATGTATATTTATATACATATATATAAATGTTATTTAAATGGAGCATTTTTTATTGTACTAAATTTTATATATATTTTTTACATCGTCTTTATAAAAAGTATATATATATATATACCTATATATATATATATTTAAATGTGTATATATTATGTATACATGTATGTAGGTATATAGTATTCATATAGTTACATACATACATATTTTAATATATATATTAATATATATATAAGAGAAAGAACAAATTTTTCTTAAATTTTCATAATCATCCAAAGTTTACAAATCATTAATGTAACAACTATCTTTTTGTTAACTGTGAACATGGATAAATTGTAAATACAACACGTCACATAATACGATGAAACATATTCGAATAACTGAATTTTCGCGCTGCAAAGCAAAAAATTTACAAGATATTCAAGACATAAACAAATATATATATATGATACAACAAAATGCATATTTTTTGTACGTTATTTTTAGAATTGAAATGGGTTCATCTTAGAATCTAAGAAAAAATACTGAAATGAGAAAGCTTATGAATGTGCGCATTATGAATATATGCGTGTAGGGTTTTATCTGCGAAATAAATTACGGTAGTATTGCTTACAATATAATTTTAATATGTCCAATTTATATTACTTAAAACTTAAATTTTGCGTATTTTTAACGCTGTTTCCTTGTCATATAAAATATAAATCTCTTCTTCCCGCTTCTTCTAATACATTTAGTTCTTAGAGAAGATAATGCCAGGGTTAACAAAACAAGGAAATAAGTTGCGTCTCATTAAGAGTATAGAAGTCATTATTGAAAACTTATATTAGTTATACACATTTTGTACTCAGTATATATCAATGAATGTTTCTGTAACATTATATTTGATTATGTATTGTGCAATGAAATAAGTATATTACACATTCTACGCTACCCCAAATTTTATCGTAGTTTCTTTGCAGCGGAAAACTCGTATCCTAAACATTAAATTCATTAAAAGATAGAGATACAGTCACATATTATAATATATATAGCATTATTTTATACAGTCTAATCTCTAGATAGAGCCGTATAGATTGCGCGACCATACTTTCTGTTACTCCAGTATATACTTGATTTTATGTAAAGTAAAATTATAAAATGTAATTATTTTACTAGATATCATCTTGTAGGTATCGTAAAAGAAGACCGGTGCTTCCAGCGTTGGAGCATTGAATAAAATGATTCTTTCCGCTTTTCTTCATATTAATAGAGTTACAATTATATGTATAAATTTTATAAACATTAAATCTCTTACCATAAGAATTCAAAATATTCAAATTTGTATCTAATCATGTTCGATTACTTTCAACGCAGGTACACATCACAGCAATTCCAATATTACGAATCTATAACACTTTTACTTTCAAGAAAGTAAAATCGTGATATATGATAATTTATATATAAAAGTCAGAATTTTTTCATTTGATTAAATTAACCCATACAAGGGTACCAGCTTATCGTATCATTTTGCCTGTGGCAAAGATGGTGCATGATACATGGTCCCACGTATTTATCACAAAAATACTAAATATACCGTAGTGTGTACCGATACGTTGCCAAGGGTTAATCGTTGAAGATTATAAAACTCATAATACATAAATATATAAGTTATTCTCCATCCGAAAAATAGCAGATATAGGAGCACACGGATACTTGTCTAGAGTCAAATTTACAAAAATCTCCAACTCTTGCAAACGTTTAAATCTTGTTTGCCTCATCCGACTTCGTACCAGTATCATTTCGTTCGTTTCTACTGCGTAGTGGTATCGGAAATGCTCTGCCGCCACGTGGCGTGGAAAGGAATTTTTAAGATCTTTACTCGTGTCTTGGGCAACGCGGTCAAAAGAAGCTTCTGCAATTGTGGCAACGGTAAAATGTCCACTTGCGGACTCGTTTGATGAGGCTGTTGATTGTCGTTACCTGTAAAATTATTAAATAACGTTTCACAATATATTTAATCGTCAAAATTATTCGTGAAAATAATAACGCTAATCAGCTGATTGATATTGAAACTAGTTGGATATGTACCTATTTGGTTTTCGCTCTCAACTTCAACATCCTCGATTAATCTTAAGCAGGGGACAGGTTTTAAAACTGGTATAGAATCCCCAGTAACTTGTTTACTCATGAGGTTGCACTGATCAACAAACAATTCTGTAACCCTGAGTAACTCGAGCGTAACGCCCCATATGAAATGTGTCAAATTGTCTGATAATTCGGTGACACCTCCGAGCACCATATTATTGGATGTTGCCGATTGCGATATATAAGTCGGTATGATCAATAACCTTTTGATGTTTTTGCAATTAGCAAGACATTTGTCAAAGCCATTCTTCACATCAAAATTGACCAATTCCATCTGACTCAGGTTCTCCAACCTCGATACGCCTTCGAGGATATCAAATGTACAACAAGATCCTTGACCTTTCTCAAGTCTAAGACGTTCCAATTTATTTAAGTTGATTAAAACGGTGGTTCCAAACTTGTCAGGAAAATCGGAGCATTCGCCCAATTCTAACGTCTCCAAATTTGTCAACGATTGTATAACGTCAATTTTTTTCTTTCCAAGTTCTTTAACTGATGTTAAACTCTGTATATAAAAGAGAAATAATATATAATGCAATTTTCTAATATTAAATAATTAAATAAAATACAAATATCATAATAAAAATAATGTTGGAGAGACATGGATTCTTACCAATTGCGTCAGGTGCTTCAAATCCTGTAAAGGCGTTAGGTCTTGTTGTAATGACATTCCAGTTATTGCTTTGAGTCTGAGTTCTTGACATCGACTCAAGTTCCCGATCGACTCTAATGTGAGGGAGTCGCACTTGATCGACATTGCACTGAATACCTCCAACTGCGGACAACTTTTAATAACTTCTTCCACAACCATAACGGGACATCTGCACAGTTCAAGCTTCACGAGACTGGTCACTCGTGGTATAACAGTCAGGAATTTCCTCCAGATGTTGTCGGACTCGCCAGCGACTAGCATTTTCCTGAGATCCAAATGCTGCGTGCCACGTCTCTGCAGCGTATCCGCCAGACCATCCCAGTCAGTTACTTGACTGTTCTTCATTCGTACAGTCTTCCATAAAGATGGATGTGCAGCGAGATCACGCCACATTTTACAAACTCGCGCGGCTCGCAATAACTCTTGGACTTTAAGATATTGGAAAATACGTAGAAGGGCATGATAACCGGCGCAAACTGAATTCATGAAATTTTGCTGTTGCTCTAATTCCTGTTGATTTTGCTTCCTCCTGAAAAAATTGAAGGAAACATGCATTTTAAGAAGACATCAATTATATCTGTGAAAACAATATCGTATCGCATGTCAAAAAAGCAAATTATCTGTTAAAATTTGTCAAATAAAGACAAGAGTTTATTTTTTAAAGAGGCTTTTAAAGACGCAATAGTTAAAAATTATTTGTTACGTACTATGATTTTCGGTATGAAAAGCCTCTGATAAAAATAATCTCTGGTCGAAAATTTATATGTTCCTATCAAGAAAGTAATAAAGATTCAAAACAAAGAAATAAATATAAAAATAAAAAGGACATAGGATTGAAGGAAAAGGATTGTGAGAATTTATAGGAAAACGCACTAAGAGTTTTTGTTTCAGCTCGCACACATGTCTTTATATCTGCAAATATAAAAAGTAAAAATGAATTAGATTTTTTCCATTGAAGCACTTATCAGTAACTTTGTAATTGCAGCATGAATGTAAACATTGATTTCTATGCATAAATGTGCATTTTAACATCGAGTAAAACTAATGCTTGTAAAAATTAATTTACCTTGATACTACAATTACATAAAATACCGTGACAACCAACGGGTGCACCTCTTATTTATTTCTTACATTTGTCATAATTTGGCCGCATTTCTAAGAAGCTCAGGCAGTGTGCTTCGGTCATAAGATAAAATCAAATTCATTTTTAATGTTGGATTTTTATATTTCCAAATATAACAAGCATCAATATGTATATTGCATTTACAATTTTATATCACATTTTATGCAATATAAAGTTGGTATTAAAATGTCTTGTCATATGTGTCGTCATATAGAGTATAAAGACTCTAATGTACAACCTAAGATGTTTACAATATATAAAATGTATAGTCAAGCTTTTACAATATATAATAAATAAAAGAATAATGTTTTCTATACGATTAGATAAGCGTGGATTATTACAGAAAGAGTATCGTTTTTATATATTAAACTTTGTAAATACAATATGTAGACAAAGCAACTGCCAAAACCTCAAAAGAGTTGCCGTAACTTAAATTATTAATAAAAAATTCTAAATAAGAAATAAAACAAGAATGCCTATGTGTCTCAAGCATATATACACTTACTTGCTGGTTTTGATTTTTTTTACTGTACCCATTTTACTTGGTAACGGTTGTTGCTGATCTATTTTAATTGTTTCAGTTTCCACACTTGATTCAAGAGTACTTGTAATACTTGCTGTATGTACTGGTATACATGCAGATTTACTTTCAGGTGATTTACAACTTGTATCTGCTTTTTCTTTTTCTGAGACATTATCTATGTTGGCAGTAAAAGATTCGTTTTCTGATATATTTTCAATTATCTTCAATATATTTTCAACAGGATTATCTTCAACAGGATCTCTTTTAGTATTTTTACTATCCTTATCTTTATTATCATACATAAATGTTTCAGTCATTTCAGTAGTAACAGAAGATCCTAAATCCGTCTGATAAATCACATCTTTTAAAATTTCTTTATCCGGTGTAACATCTATTTTTTCAGGTAAATCAGTATTTAAGGGTGGAGGTGCACATAAGTTTGCCACAGAATTATCCGTAGCATTCGAAATATCGGTAAGTGGACTGTCTTGAAGCATTGGCGGTTTATCGCCAATTTTGTCTGGCTTTACTGTTATAGCTGGTTGAACTGCCATTGCGTTATTTTTTGGTACTACAATATATCTTTTGCCACCCATTACAGCAATATTTTGAGCTGGTTTCGGCATAGTACCATCGTGACTTTGTAGAAATTCATTTTCTGTCTGAGGAAACCAAGTACTTTCCTTTTTGTCTACAGTTGAAGGTGAATTTGATACTGAAGATGGTATTTTAGTAGTTTTGGAAGAATTTCTTGTTTGCGCTTCCGCACCCTCGGACTTTGGAATTCTTTGCAATTTTGGAGGTGATGAATTAGTTGGATGTTTTGATTTCGCATTTTGTGCACCTAACATACTAATTGGAATCAATGGAGGTGGTGTTAAAGATGGATTGTTTGGCATGTGAGATTCTTTAGTATCCGGCTGACAATTCTACAACAGATTTATTCTTATATAAGAACTATAAAAATTCTAATCATTTTAATATTAAAATTATTCAAATGTATGTATATAATCAATTTTATATTTTACATTTTACATATATAAAAGACAATTCTTTAATTAATCATATCTTTTATGTAAACTTTCCAATGTTCTATAGAAACAAATAGTGGAAAATGAACATCTAAATGGATAAATATATGCATTTACTTTTAGTTCTTAATTCACTAGTAAATTTTTACACTTTAAACTTACAATTCAAACTCGACATATAATTAATCCTTTGACTGCAAACAAGTTAGAAGCAAAATACTCATGTACGGCCAAGTTATAGCAGTTATGTACAGAGTACTTTTGCGCATTAAGTTTTTTATGTTAGGTCTTTATGTTTGTATAAAGTCAGTTAAATTTCTAGATCAAGGTTTTGCGAAGTCATTTTGCTAAGGTTGTGTATTGTTAAAATTATCTCCGCAAAAAAAAAAGAAACCCTATATACGCCAGGAGCAGTCAAAAGATTAAAATGATTGAAATTTCTCGAACTGTACCGCACAGTAAAACCTACCTTGCAAACATATTCATCATTGCCTGTAGATTCCATACCGTCGACACATTCAGGATGATACAAACAGAGACAAACTCGACATTGTAAACTTGGTATTAATCCCATACTTGTCGAACATCTTATGCTGCATGGTTCTTGAACTTTGGGCCTGTAAGATGTGCGTTGATGGGGAAAGGAATTCAGGAAAAAAAAAACACAAGAGTCCCATTAAGGATGTATGAAATAGGATCAAAGGAAAAAATAGTTATGAAAATTATAGACACAATAGAACTCTCTCATCCAAAGTCAGCAACTTTTGTACATACATATTATGTATTGCATGTGTTTTTAAATTATGTCACATACAATTATCCACGAATTTTTAAATTGTGTATATTTGTGTATGCAATAAAATCTATAGATATGCACAAATTTTGCGCTTTATGTAAAAAAAGTTTAATTGATATTGTTGAATTTTATAATTGTGCAAGGCAAAATGTAAAATTTTGATACAGTAAAAAGAAATTACCTAAGTTTATAAAATATAATAATTTTAAAATATCTTTATCTTCTCAATAAAACACAACAACATAGCATAATTTATAAGATGCTAATCATAATAAGATTGTGTTTTTAATTAAATTATACTAATAAAATTGATTGTTTTGTGTTGAACATTATGCATATATAATTGTATATAATAATAAGTTTCTATTTCTTAATGTGTTAGTTCAAACAGATTTATTATATCTTTCTTTTATATGTAAATTATATTGAAATTTTCTTTCTTGTTTTAAATTAAAGAATCTATTATATATGCTAAATGCCTAAAATTTTTGTTTTATTTCATGGATGATTCAATATTGTCCTTTCATCTTTTTACAGATTTTATTTCCCTTAAATCAGTAATATCGAATGTAATGCACTAAACTCCTATATAATAAAAGTGAAATTAAATAAATACTCACGTTAACAATCTTTTGGTTTTGACTGGTATAACCTTCTCAACTGGTTGTTGACTTCTTCTCGTATTTGCTGTACTCCGCTGAGGTGGAAGCATCTCGCTTTCCTCAGTTGATTTCATTTCTGCTATGCAAATTTCAGAATATTCATGAGAATGACGATTTTGTAATAAAAAATAACAGGAAAGATATTCTTTTAAACAATTATATTTACTAAAAATTGTAAGACAAAAAGAAACAGTACAAAAATTTAAACAAATATATCCCCAAATTATGTATTAAGTTATTGGGGCTGTGTAATAAAATAGAGAATAAAAGATAACACAATACATATAAACATAAGCCTCCAATATAAGAACATACTTATTTGAGGAGTTTTCTTTGTTGTTGTTCTTTTATATGCTGGAGGTGCTTTTGCCGTTTTAGCTGTCTTTGTAGGTGCTGACACAGGCGCAGGAACAAATTTTGAAGTTTCAGCAGGTGGAGGTGCAGGTGCAGCAGTAGGAGGTTCTTGTGCCGGCTGCTTTCTTGATGTGCTAGGTTCATTTAACGATTTTCTCGTCGCAGGTTCTGATTTCTTTGTTATAGGTTCCTGTACTGTCTTCTTTATTGATACAGCTTTTTTATTATATTTCTTTGCAGATCCACCCATAGATCCCTGCAATGTCCAACAAATATCCAATCATCATTTTTTAAAAAAACTTATGAGCTTAAGACTTGAAAGACAATTGAATTAATACATTATAATGTATTAATATAAAATAATGTATAAATATATTAATAATAAAAAAAAAATAAAAAAATAATAAAAAAAAATAATATATTAAATATATTAATATATTAATATATTATATGTATAATATATTAATGTATAAATATATTTATATGGTAATGTTTTGTAACACAGTAAAACTTAAAAATATAAGAGCTGAAAACGTACTCGTGATCTTTTAGCATCTCGAATAACCTCTTTTTCTGGATCATTAAGCCCAATAGGTTCTTTAAAGAATGTGAAATTTTCCATAGACAACTGCTCTGAATTAACTGTAAAAAAAGTTCACATACACACACACACTCATATGTATATATATACATTTATATATATCTATATCTATATGATTTAATTACTTTTTTCCGCATACTTACGAGATTCTGCAACTTCTCTAAAACTCCTGACCTTTTTCCCCTTTGGTGTGTAGTAATATATATCAGCCATTTTTTTGAAGGAAGAGTCATGACTAGCCCTAAACACTAATTCTCGTTTCCATCCGTATTTAAATGGCTCTTTGTATAAAGGATTTGACATGTCAACAGGAGTTTTCTGCTTCCCCCCTGGACTGGCACCACCAGAAACGAGGCTACTCTTTGATCTTTGCGACGTTGCAGAGGGACTACTTGCCGCCGATGACGAATTTGCCGATCTATTGGAAGTTATATCAATTTTGTTTGGTTCAACTTCGGAATCTATGCTATTTGGTACATCAATAGAATCTGTTTCCGACTTATCGGACTCCTTTTCTTTTTTAATTTTTGTCATATCCAAATGTTCAAAACTATCCGTTTCGTAAACGTACGTTCTCATGTCATCAAAGTCGTGATTGTCATCTATCTTTTCTCGAGCATCGTAAGCCCTCGTTGAATATTTTATACGTTTTGTTAGTTGTGCTTCTGCTATTTCCGCTTCGGCTGTAATAAAGAACGTTAAATTCATAATTATCTAAGCTCCTAATAGAAATTAAAATTATTTTAATTATTTAATAAATTGAACAATATAATTATCACAGTAAAGGTAGGTTTTCATGAGCAGTGAAATGCAGCAGCAGCGAGCAGCAGTTTAATAATTTTCTAGAAATTACTAACCTAGTTTGACTCACTTCCGGGTGCAAATTTTTGCTCCTCGAAGTTCTGACCTATACACAGTATACACTGCCAGTACCGAAGCCCGAAATAACTAAACTGCTGCTCGCTGCTGCTGCATTTCACTGCTCATGAAATCTCACCTTTAGACTACTGAACTACTCCAATGAGTAAAACAAATGCTGTCTATATCTTATAAAAAAAAAATAGCAATACCTTATATTACATCTCAATTATTATTCAATCATATCTTCCTTAAAATACCAAAAGTAAACGAAGAAATTTTTAGAGAAATTATTCACCGAGAACCCCAATCTCCCAATCTGTTTCTCTTAACTTATTCAACAGTTTCAAGAAAAATACATAAAAAATCAAAATGCTTTTAGGACATATAATCAGTCTTGCCGTTGACAATAAAAAGTGTCACGACCTACCAATGAGTTTGTTTAGAACGTGACTACCCGGTTGAAGTTCGAGTCCTTGGGAGTCGAAGCCGTTGAACTCCTCGGAGCCCTCGGAGCTGGCGTCTTCGTACTCCGAGAGCTTGCGCTTGCGTCCCCTCGTCCCAGGCGCCTCCGCCGTGTCGATCTCCATCGTGCCCGTAGAGTTGGCCTTGAACTTTCTCAGCCTCCTGCGGGGAAGCGACGTGCCGTGCTTCTTCGGCGTGCCTCTCAGCTCGCCGTTAACCTCCTGCGCGTCCGCGTTACCACCCGCCATCACTTGCGCCTTGTCGCTCGAGTTCTGCGTCTCCACCATCGGCACGATCGACGTACCCGTACCACCACTAGCACTGCCGCCGCCGCCGCCGCTGCCGCTGCCGCTGCCGCTGCCGCTGCCAATTTCGAGGTTAGAATCCTCCCGCGGTACCGCGGCGTTCCCGCCATTCACGTTCGCGCCGTCCATCACGGAATCGCGCGGCCTCCGATACTCCGAGCAACGCTGCCGTCTGTGCCGATCGACGCCAGGCAGAAAGTAACGTTATCGCTTCGTACCTCCACTCGGTGATTACCGTCAAATAGATGGGCGATTATCGCGAGCACAGCTATTCGGCCCGTCTGCCGTCTCGCTCTCCTGCTCCTCTCGCGTTTTCGTTCCTCCGCCCCTCTCTCTTTCTCACCCGCGTGCCTACCGCAGTTCACAGTTTCAGTTTCCCCTCGCAGCTCGCACCCTTCCCCCCCTCGCGTCTACCTACCGCGACGCGATCGCGCGCTCATCTGGCCGCGGATGCGCACCGGGCGTGCGCAGACGACCACTACGCGCTATTTACACAACGGCGCTACGTCGGGCACGTCCGTGAGCGAACGCGCATCACGCCGTGCACGCTGCTCGCGCGACCAAAACCGCCGGGGCCGTCGCCACTACGCTCGCGGCTGACACGAGGATTCCGTGCGAAAGGTCGGTGCCGAACCTCGGAAACACTCGCGGAGCGTCTGTCCTGCGCGACAGAGTACCGGAAATGGCCGTTGATGCGTTGATGGCCGTGTCAGCGATGGCTCATGCCGCGTTCTAACCGCCGGATTTTACGCCGCTCGCGCATGCGCGCTCATTTCGCGATTCTTTTTTCCATGACTTTTGGAACGCATCTAATCGTCATGGAATTTGGTCTCGATCATCTAAAAAAAATTAATATTTGAACACTTTTGAACATTCCCAGGTAGCATTAATGTCTAAAAGACATCATAAAGATGTCTTTAAGATGCCAGAAATCTTAAAGATGTCTTTATGATATGTCTTTTAGACATTAATTGCTACCTGGGTTTGTGTGCGCTTATATAAATCAAATAGAATATACAAAACTATACATTGTCGCGAACAATGTATAGTTTTGCAAAATACAGATGCTGCGAAAAAGTGGAGAGACCACAAACTCCGATTAACTTAATCGGCGATTATAATGTCCATTTGTACCAATGCAGTTTAACTTTAATCTATTTTCTAGTTTTGCGAATTGGAAAAAGATAAAAAAATAAGTTAAGCCGAAATTAAAATTAATCCGCATTAATTTAACTCGCAAGGTTAATTATTATCCATTTCTACCAATGTATAGCTTAAATTACCTTTAATCTTGGTTCAACTTACTTTCATTCTTTTTCTAGTTTTAACTTATTCTCGATTATTCGGAATTCTAGCTTATACAATTCGTCATCCCTAATCTAATCTCTCTTTCTTTCAAATGTATTAAACAACAAAAAATTGATAATTCTATCCATGTTAATAAACTACAAATATTACTTGGCATTAATTGCCGATTAATCCGAATTAAATTGGTTAAAATAAATCTAGACATCGATCCGAAGACTCTCGTCCCTCCTCTCACTTGCCATTTTGCTCTTTAATTGCCTCTCTTTGTTTCAGCATTGTTTTTAAATTCAACTTTTCTCACGATACTCTTCTATTTATTCTGTTTCAAAATTTCTATCACGACGAATAGTTTGCTCCGATCGAAGTCGATTTTCTCTCTCTTCTGTCATCTGCCCTAATCTAATCTGATCTAGTCTCTTTTTCTTTCAAATATATTAAACGATAAAAAATTGATGGTTCTATCCATGTTAACGAACTACGGGGATGATACTTGGCAAATTAATTGCCGATTAAATTAATCCGAATTTGGTCCAAGCGAATCTATAAAAGTCATCGAGGACTCTCATCCTTCCTCTCTCTCGTCACTTTTGCTCTTTGCCTTTGTTCGTTTCAGCATTATTGTTTTTAAATTCAACCTTTCTCACGGTACTCTTCTAGTTATTCTATATTTTAGACGTTTCTCTAGCACGAGACGGATAGTTTCAATAGTTCGCTCCGATCGAGGTCGAGTTCTCATGAAGCGACCGACGCGTCGCACAATCGCACGCACGATCCCGAACGAGCGTGTGTATACGTACCGTTCGTTTACCTTTCTGCGACGTGCGGGCATACAACAATACGTTACAGTGGAAAATAGTTCGGCGACCCGACAGAGCCCTCGTATAATTGATCATCGGCGTCCTCTCCCTTTAACATTTCATTGTCGGTCGGACAGGGCGGACCGCGTTTGACAATGAGACAGTTTTGAGGCGAGAGACTCATGGACATTACTTGTAAGAGGTGAGAGAGAGCGAAGCAGGATGTTACGTATATTGTTCATCACACACGGCCGACGACGCGACGGGAGAGTTAAAAGGCCCCGACGCCCCCGACGCAATCGCGATTTGTTTTGACCCCCTCCTCGGCGATTGACGTATCGCGGATATACGTGTATATCCGATGATGGAGACACCGCTTTTCGGCGCCGCATCATCCGCGCGTTCCCGTTGCCCGCACGAGCGACGCCAACGAGATCCGGCCCGTCCTTCCTAATCCCCGAAGAATGGATCGCGAATTAATCGCGTCGCTCGTCCGGCACAGATCCGCGCCGTAGGAACGATAACCCCCGTCCAGATGTGTGAATAATACTGAATAAGCATACCTTGTGCGTATTTTCCGTGTACGGGCCGCGACTCGACCTCGCGAATTAATCGCCGTAATTGAGAGATGTACGCGTGTCGCGCGTTCGAGCGTTAAACGTGGATCGTAGAGTCTGTAATTTTGACAATTTCATTGTTAAATGTCGCTCATTGAGAGACGATGTCGCGAGTATGGTAGAGCGAACCGCAGTCGCCATGTAAATTCGTATACACCGTACTCGTGTCTTCGATTACTCGTGTTTAATTGCGCGCGATTATCAAATTGATGGGATCGGCCGATTAAAGTTCGCCTGATGGTTTTGCAGCAAAAAACGCATCCTTCAAATGGAGCGTGTTCTGAAAGCTGTACCGGCGGATTTAAGAGTAAAAATGGAGGCTCTTGTGCACGATTTGACTTTGGCACTGGAAGAGAGCAGCAATAGTGCGAATCTCAGGCGCAGATGGGGCATCAGGAGGAGAGCCCGCTCCACGGGGAATATTCGTAAGTGTAAGGGAGAATAACAATTCGATGCGACGTCAGAAATCTGAAACGTTCAAATGAAACGTCGGATTAAAGTAAAAGTAGACAGAGGATATCTCAAGCATTTAGCATTTTTTTTGCTAATTGCACCTATAAATTGCAATGGTTAATTACAGTTTACCTGTCCGAAGCACCCGGTCAAGATTATCTTTGTAGAAACCAATTGCTACATGACATAACAGAAGTCATATATTAATTGCGTGTAATCTTGGAGAATTAAAGTAACGTGATCCTGTTCGAGAATTAAAGTGCGATGCCGTTTATCCGAGCGTGTTAAATAATTTAATGTATGTCTTTGCAGCGGCTCTAACTATGAACAAACATTCGGACGACAGCTCATCTTCCATTTGCGAAATTCGCATTCCGAAAACTGCCAACGTTTCGAAGTATCAGTCCGACAGCGACGATACTAATCAGACTAAACGTTTCGCGCATTTCCCAAACTTAAATAACGTCAGTAACATCGAGAGCGATTCGGTGAATGAAAATTTTGTGCCAAGAGCGAACACCAGACGCAAGAGGAAGTTCAAGAGAATGGCGATCGATTCCGACTCTAATGCGTCCACTTCTCAAGCAGTGGCAATTATGTCGACTTCAACGTTCGGCGGAAAGAAACGCATCTTTCGCGATTGTAAAAATAGATACGGCGCTATATGGTAAGGAAATAGAATTTAATCATTGATTTCTTCTATATAAGAAACAATGAGTAGGTAATAGCGTAATTTTGTGCGTTACAGGTGTGGAAAACGTAAGAGATCGTGTAGAGAACGTTCGATAGATTGCGAGATGAGAGTGCCTAAACCAACCAAAAATGCAAAACCGAAAAATCGGGATAAGATGCAAGGCGAGGATACCGTAGATTGTTCTCGTATATCTAGTTCCAGCATTTCGTCCAGCGATTCAGAGGCGGGTCTTATTACAAATGATGAGGATAGAGAAGGTATGTCTGGAGCATTCAAAGGCACAGTACCGAATATACAAGGTATCACGTAACATATTACAAAGTTTAATTCTTGCAGGAGACGACGAACAGTCGGATTGGATTGGAGAGTCGAGTTGGCGGGACGACGGGGAAAGTACCAGCGACGACAAAGCCACGTCGGATTCGACCTTCCAAATGATATTACACGGCGAACACTTGGTTGCGGAGGCCAAGAAGAACTACAAACAAAGAATACAACGCATTCGCGAGGGCTTGAGCGGTAGAGAGATCCGTGCCGGGCGACGTCACGTCGACAACAAGCCCGGTTACTCCATCATAACATCGGCCAACGAGAAGGTCTCGCGATTCCTGCAAGATCCAACTCAGAGCGAGCTGAAGCTCCATCCTATGCGACAACCCGAGCGAGAGAAGCTGCGTCGACTCGCCAATTTGTACAGTTTAAGCATGAAGGGCGATCAAGGCTGTCCGATATTGTACAAAACGCGGCACACCACTCAAGCTGTATGCGTAGACCAGGTATCGTTGAACAGATTCTCAGACTACAAGAGACTGCGTAAAACACCTCCGAATTCACCCAACTCAGATTCGACGATGCAAACCGAGGAGCCTCAGATTTCCAGCACGAGCTTCAGCCCGCAAATCGTAAATCAAGCGCAAAGTAATCTGAGCTCCATACAAGCAAACGTACAAACATTTTCTTCGTTCGAATGGGAGAGCGAAAGCATGGACATAGAAGTACAAGGAAAACCAAAGTTTCCCGATTTTGGACATTCCAAATCTAGTTAAATATATACAATACAAGTATATATGTATTTATTGTTTTTCTGACTAATCTGTATATACGTGTATGTACATTCATGTATACGCAAGTTTTTTGTATAAATTATGCTATTAGAAATGTTAATATTCATAATGATCCCAGGTAGCATTAATGTCTAAAAGACATGATAAAGATGTCTTTAAGATGCCAGAAATTTTAAAGATGTCTTTATGATGTCTTTTAGACATTAATTGCTACCTGGGGATCATATAAAGATATTCTAAACTGTACAAATAAGTATTTTACTGTAAGTTTTAATTGACAAATAAATGTATAGTTATTCATATTATTACAAATTGATGTAAAAATTTAATATTTATATGCAGACGTTATAAAAATGGGATTAATTATAATGTTAGTATTAAGGATCTAAGGCTAATGTGATTCAGAGAGTCAAATTAACTTTCATGTTCATATTAAAAAGATAGAACAAGTCATTGTTTACTCATATAACATATACATTAACTCCGTCGCTCCCATAATTTACATGTTCAACATTTTATATTACAATACATTACAGTACATGATTTATTGTACAATCAATGTTTTTTAATTTCAAAATAAAACGTTTTTAAATCTCGAACAAATATATATCCATTAGACACTGAATGAATAGACCGTCATGTAGAGAGATGTTCGAGAAATGTTTATTGCAATCTTATGATACGAAGATTCGAATAGAGGCTCATGATAAGATCAGTTTATCTACACAGTTTTACTGACGAACCTAATTTGCCTGGCCTTGCCTTTTAGCTGCCAAAACATTTTCATTGGCAGTTATTTGAAACTCCTGGAAACGTTGAGACACTCTCTGATTCATTTTCAGGTACTTTTCCATGCAGTTAAGGGCGCATTTCTCCTCCTTGGCCCTAACTTCTCGCGTCGTGAAGTCGGTTATGCAGTCGACGAAGCAAATTTCGGAGAGTTTATTGTACGACGTTAAGAAGTCTCGAAACTGTAAAGACAAATAGTGTTCGAGTTATATATCGTACGTGCGTAGCAGTTCCCATAAAAATAGCTCGCGCAACATTCCGTGTACCGCTTTACGGCGTAGCAAAAAAATATCGTTCAAGTGCGGGAAATACATACAGATTTAATTTGATCGGCATCCACGTCAGTCGGAACTTGCATCGCCATTGTCAGAGCTCAATATTTGCGCAAAGCTTCTACCACCGTTCGCTTATTCCTGTAAATATCGCATCGGACTATGACGGGCGATTTTGAGGTTAGAAACAAGCACGTGCGTACGACATATGTATACAGTTACGACGTAAGGTGTTTTAGGAACGCCGGAATATGACAAAAACGAAAATAAATTTGAAAATAGCTTTATTTATTTCCATATACTCTCTACTGTCACCTAAGCTGCTTTTTATCTTTATTTTCATACATCTTCGTTGCATTTTATTAGGCAAAATAAAAACAACTAAGATCTTGGTTTTTCTTATGCATTCATTGGCTTCTCACGGTTTTCATTCAAAGATGGTTTCAATTCTTGCGGTTGGCAACGCATCGTTTGAATGAAATTTTAAACCGTCGTCACTCGTTGGAACGATCGTCCGCTAAATTAGTGCGATTCCCTCGACGTTATTCGTACATATATCGCTGTCGAATTCGGGATCTTTTATAACGCAGGTACCGGAAACGCTGTTCTATCACCTTTGAGCGTCTTATCGATTGTATCTGTTATTCAAAAGAGCGAGAGCGAGAGCGAGAGAGAGAGAGAGAGAAATACGCGAAAACGATATACGGCAACTACGGAAAGCTCGGTCGCGCGCGAGTTTCGGACCCAGCTGCTTGCCGAGCCGCAGCTGCATTTAAAAGGTGAGTCCGCGGAGAGAAATTTTTGGGCGGAAACCGAACGCGCGCGGTGAAAGTCAAACGGCCGGGCCGGCCGGGCGGATTAAGCACGATCGCCGTTTCTTCAAGAAATCGATAAACGTCCCCGCGCGCGGCAGGGAACGAACGGCAGATGCGCCGCCCTATCGACGTCGGATCGAGGCGCGAAAAGTGCCCGCGTTGATGCTCGCCTATCGTACGCGCCATATTGTTTTCGGGACGACAAGACGTCAGACGACGCGTCATTGTTGCGCCGCATATTATTACGAGGGAAGCAGTTTTGCTTGTATAAAGAAAGAAATGCTGTTTTCTCGACGGAGATCATTTTTCAAGGTAGTCGATCATCTGTTTCCCTCTTTTTTTCTCTAGAGCCCGCCTTGAACGATCCACAAGTCGATCGAAGAATGCAAGGAATACGTTGCGTTTTTATTTATTTTCTTACGCTCGCGTATTTCACATTCGATTCGGACTCTTGCGTTTTTCGTATTACACGGAAAACGTAGCGTCGATTATAGATACTATAAATAGGTCTGTTATAAATTATAGATTACATAAATTAATAATTGTATAAATTATATATAAGCAGATATATATGGAAGGGTGACGAGTAGAACAACTTTGCTGAATTTCGACACGAATTGTAAAGACATAAAGGTGGATCGAGAGGCGGATTTTACGCCATCGGCTCGATCCCTCTCGACGATCTTTATTTCGAATCCGAGGTTCACGGTGGAAAATCGAGTCGGGGAGCGGGGAGCGGGGTTCCGCCGTTCAAGTTCAGCTGAGTTCCCGTAGTTCGTCCGTTCCGCACGACCATCTCCTTAACGTCTCGTCTCCGTTACGGTAGCGCGAGCCCGGGACAGCTGACGACCGAGGGCCGAGGGCCAAGGGTTTCCCGCGAGCTCGACGAACCTGAAACGCGCTGCACGTACGTGCGTTCCAAGTTCCAAGTCGCGCGCGCCTGCGACAAACTTCAGACAGACGCGCTCACGTTAAGCCGTCACCGTCGTCGGTCCGTCCGTCGCGCGATTTTCTCGAAATCTCACGTGATAATCAAAATCTAGAGCTTTTCGTCTTTTTTTGAATGTCGGGGGAAGCGGGGGGGATGACGTATCGCGCGATTGTTTAGCGCGCTAATTCGCGGCGCGATGCCGCCATGGCACGTAGATTTATAACCCCCGTTGCTAACACGTCCTTACCACGTCCCCCGTTGCTGACTGCGTCGCTGCCATGATTGTAAGTTATGGCGATTCACGCCGATTTGAAGTTAATTTCTATTTTAGATATGCTTCTCGTTAAAGAGGCATACCTACCGCACAGCAAATGTTGCAACATATGGAGAAATGAAGGTGTAACGTAATATAATGTAACGCCATTTTTTAATTTTAATATGCACTGCGTGAAATATGTAAGGAGATATTTTGTTGCTATATTTGATTTTGACATCATGGCGGCAGTGTACAACAGTATTTCATCGCCGAAGAATGATCTTTGCAAGTCCTCTTTTTCGTAACTTGTCGCAATCGATCGCTTTTTCTTATAACATAATGTACATACATACATTGGTGTTTAAACTGTCTAGTATTCTATATTTAAAGTTTTGTCTCGAAATTTACTCAATAAATAAAATAAAATAACACGATGTAATAGGTATATATAATCAATTAAAGAAATCATCATTTTAAATCTGTGTGGACTAGATCTTAGTCTGATAATAATATTCTTAAATAAAATATAATTAAATGATTTTCCACGGTATTAATTATTTTAGTCGTTTGTTATCATTCCAATGCAATTGTACATCGATTTATCGCTATTTCTACATTTCGTCATTGTAATTTCTCAGGGAGCTAAATATCGCAATCGTGGAAGAATCGCTGCCGTCGACGCGTCCTCGAGAAACGTTTCTTCCGAGCGACGCGCGAAGTCCGTGCTCGACGGAAAAAAGCCCGTGTCCGCGGGAACGTCGCCGCAAAAGACGCGGTCTTCGAAGGACGGGGACGCCGTAAAAAGTTGCGCGACGAAGTCGCGAGGTCTCCGCGAACGGCGGCTTCTTTCGCGGAGGGAAGATAAAATGGTGCGCGACGACGTGGGACACAAGGTTCGCTTGTTCGACGAGGCCAGCGTCGCCAGCGCGGGCAACAATGATCCGATTTACATTTTACGGAAGGAAATACATGACTGGAGAGTATCCGGGCAGCTAACGGACGGACTTGAGCGCGATTCTCACCTTACCGAAGACGAGACGGAGAAGAGTTTCGTTCAAGGTAAAAAAAAAATGAAATTTAACAATGCTATACGTGTAACGTGTTATAATATATATAGTATTTTTAAATTAATAAATATTTTCATCACTTGTTTCTAGAGTGAATGTAAAATTGTAAAACAGGTTTAAATAAAAGTATGATAAAAAATTATTATCAAGAGTTCTCCCATCAAGGATAATTCAAAATTTATTCTACGATTTTAAAGAAAGTCACGTTTTAATGATAAATTCTTATAATTTTCAGAGAGCTGTGATCAAGCAGTCGTGAAAGATCTCCCAGATCCAGGTGTTCTCCATGAATTACCGAGTTCCATCGCCATTGATCATTTAACGCGGCGCACGTGAGTACATTTAACTTTCTTATCGGGAATGCGATCTTTATATTTATTAAAATTTTGCATACGCTTTTACGTGAAGACACGCGCGTGTTTCGCGGAAATGAATTATTATCCTGGATTATGTGTCGAGATAAACGATCACATGTGTTTATGAAGGATTCGAGCGATTATACTTTGTAATAGGTATATCACGAGAAACAGGAGATGACGATCGCAGAATTTGCTGTCGGTTGAGTAATAAAAATTTTTTTTTTAGAAAAACGATCGGGGTTTTATACCAGCAAATATCCGCGTTTGATAGCCGTCTGCCGGTATCGTCGAGGCGTAATTCTGGTAATTCAATCGACCGTTTCATCCTGTATTTATTTCTCTGGCGATATATAGTAGCGCGAACGACTTTTTCCGTCGACTGTCGGAGCGGATTGTGTCCGCTCGCTCGTACAGCGCGAGAGAGTTATCGCGGCCGCGAGTTATTTTCTCGTCGTGACTTATAATAAGCCCCGGTCTTTGCCCGGTGCGGTTCACCGGCACCGGCGCGTTGTTACCCGCCAGTGATTTCTTGTCAGTGTCTTAGGTAGAGCAACGGCTCAAGAAACGAGGTAAGTGAGCAACGTTTCCGCTTGCGGTGCACGTGCGACGCGCATGCGACGCGCTTCGTTTTCGCGACTATTTTCATATACATGCACGTTTTCCATATGCACGAATCCGACGATCGAGCCGAATCGACCTCGAACGGATCGAGAGACAGAAAGAAAAAGAAAGAGAAAGAGAGAGAGAGGAGAGAGAGATAGAGGGGCCTCGCGCGCGTCTCGTTACGTAAGTAACTGTAAATAAAGAATGAGAGAAGCACGGCCGTGCGTCTTCGCCCGCTGTGCTCGCACACCCGCCGAGAGCAGGACTACGTCATTCTGGAATTTTCGAAAGTTTCGTCCAACCGGTTCCCGATCGGCGCGCACCCGAGACCCGTTCGTGACTCGCCGCCGATAATGCCCCCGCTGCGGTAGGATGCACACCGCGTACCGTTTGCTGGAAGCCGATCATCGCGTTCACCGATCTCCCGACGTTTCTCGCGCTAGCGAAATCTTTTCCGCAATCGCGAAATATACGCACGTACTTATTAATTTCCGTGACAATTGAGGCAAAGTATCGACATTTCGTCATATTCGTAGAACGTGAGAATTACTGACTGAATAAAATGATTCGTTTTTCAGATCCTCGATGTATCGCTGCAATGTAGATTGATCATTATTCGTAAAACGCGATTGCAAAGAGGAACGAGGTGTCGGCGATTACTGACGTTCGCGAAATCGGCGGACAACGAGGATCCGCTGTCAACGCGACACGTGCGAGAAACGACGCGAATCGGGACGCGCGACGGAATTGAAATTCCGCGGAGGAGCGCGGCGGAGAAGCGACGAGTTTGCCTCCATGGTCGAGGACGAATTCGGCGATTCCCGCGCTCGTCATTCGAGGCACGGAAACGCGGCGCCGAAAATATATTTTTACTACCACGAGCACGCGAGCCGCATGCGTCCCGGCTCATTAAGCACCGGCTATTGTTCTCACTAACCTACAGCACTGTGCGTCTCATTATCATCTCTCATTCGTGACGCCACTGTTAAAAAGGTGGAGGCCGGGAGCGTCTTTCGCGCGCCTTCACGAAAAACCGCTCGAGACGCGGCCGCGTCTCGTGGGATCGTTCCCAGACGAGACGTGAACGAATTAACCTTCGTCAAGTCCTCAAATTAAATTGAATTGTTTTTCAGAAACCCCGCCGGTTTAATGATGCAAAATCGCTCCCGACGCAAACCTCCGTGTGCGATTAAATTAGCCTAAATGATCGCGATAAATTTTGTCGATGCTTCGAAGCCTCATTCTTATTCGCTACGAGTATCGCCGGTAACGCAAAAGTATCGAGCCGATGCTTTAAATGATTTAATTTAATTGAGATGGGTGTCGGCGAAGTCGAAGGTCGGATAAGAATTAAAAGATTAAATTCGATATGGATATTTCCTCCGAAATTGAGGTCCCGACCTTATACGTCTGAAAATTAAATCCCCGCGTGATCAGCAGAACTCGATTGATTTCAATTTCGTAACGACGAATTCCATATATCGATTTCTTTCGATTTGCATATCGTTTTCACGGGCTAACGTGAGTGTCGTTACGAAATACAGTTCCGGAGTGGCGATATTTTTATAGTTGTTTTTATCGATTCGCATGCACGATGAATATTCATCGCTCGCCTATTTAAAATCGAGACGGCGACAAAGTTAACGCAACAATGTAGGCGCGGTTTAAAATTAGACCGTCGGGTGATTTCCGTTTGCGCGATCCTTCCCCTCGAATATTCCGCGAGGCTCGTTCGCCCGTGTCAGCGCTAAAGAGGAGACAGTTTCGTGCAACTTTGCGCCACGGCGGGCGCGTTCGGAGCGCAGTCAGCTCTCATCCGGATAATGATGTAGGTTAGGTTCCCAAGCGGTATATATCGCAAAAATCAACATTCTTCGCGGAGCCGCGCGCGAGGCTCGTAAAAAGCGTAAACCGGTTTGCCTCGTAAATGGCACACGGGCGTGCGAACGGGAGACACGGACGCGCGCGCGAGCGCGCGGCGGATAAAGGAGCACGCCGGGCACGCGGAGGATGCCTCCGGTGCCCCTTTGTGCAATTCCCTTTTTCTCGGATTTCTGCGGTTTCGGGCCGCGAGCGGGTAAATCACGCGGTCGCGACAGACGACGACGAGAGGCGGTCGAGAAAAGGAGAAACGTCCGCGCGTCGCTCGCTCGCCGATCTTGTTTAATCTTTCGTTTCACGTAGCCGCGCTGAGGAACGAACCTAAACACGTCTCACGTTTGGGAGACACGTTTCGGATTCTCGAAGCCGCGCGTCAGAATTTTTATTGACTCCGTTTAATTCCTGCGAGTACGTCGAAAACGGGGGGGTCAGGCGGCGGCCGGAGAGCGGGTCCCGTTCGAAAAAAATCGTTCGTCGCAACCTTGGCGCGAATTCAAGAGAAGCCTTCGTTGCAGATTTCAGACGCTCGCGCGGGGGATTCTTTCAGCGACGCTCGCAAAAGGATCGTTACTCTATTTATATTCGGAACCGGTTTGTCATTTGCCCCAGTTTGCCGCCGGTACACTTAACTCACATCCACGCCGGATCTAGACTCGATTTTCCCGATCTCGCATCTTTGTCACGCTTCCCGCGCGTCTGCGAGGAAAAAAAAGGGATATCGAGACGCAATTATTTTACATTAATTGCTCGCGGGGAGAGGGGGACGCGAATGTAGGCTCGATCGCTCGGAACGAGTATTCTCTCTTCTCTTCTTGTACTTGAGGAACGTTATCGCAAAAAACCCCCGTATGTAATCCGACAATATCCAACGTCGTTCGACACGACTCCGCGTTCGAGCGCGTCCTGTTAGCCCGGTTTCACGGCCCGATAAGGCCTGTATGTCTATCAATGTAGATTAACTTTAATATCTCGGTTTAATTTACTTTTTTTCTTTTTCTAATTTTTGAAACTGGAAAAAAGATCAAAAGTAAGTTAGACCAATGTTAAAATTAATCTATCTCACCTATTTTCTAGCTGTAAGAATTAGGAAAAGATTAAAAAGTAAGTTAAACCGAGATTAAAGTTAATCTACATTGATGGACGTAAGACGGATAACGCTGGTCCGCGTGGTTTTAAAAACGTGGTCGAACGAAAACGGAAGAAAAACAGTGAAAAAAAAGAGAGAAAGAGAGGAAAAAGAGGGAGAAATGGGAACACTCGTGGCAGACGACGAATTTCCGGTTCCGTCGTACATTGACCCTGCCGCGCTCGAGGGACCGTTCTATGTAGGTTATGTTTGTCTATGCTTTCTCTCCGACGCCGAAGAGAATCCACGTCCGCCGACAAAACCGACCGGCGCGGCGCGGCGGCTGACGTCACGGAGTCGCGCGCGCAACATCGGAGTAAAGAGGAAAAAATAGAGAGAGAGAGAGAGAGAAAAAGGAAAAATATCGCGCCTCCTCGGCCGCGTCGTAGAGATGGCCGTTCGCACGGCGCATTTAGCGCTCTAAATATGGCTATCCGATTCTCAAGTCGCGTGTTTACGTTGCACGCGGCTTTTTTTTCTTCGCGCTGCGCAGTTAAGAGAGGCGGACGGCACGAAAGAAGCGGGGCCGCATATGCGCGTGTATATACGCGGAGCGCTGAACGCGGACGCTAAACAAAGACGGTTGAAGAAAGGGATCGGAGCTTAACGCCGCGTGAAGCGCGCATCCGCGTCTCGCGTTTACCGCTAATCGCGGCCATCCGATCGTCGCGATAACGTCGTACGTGATCTACGTGCCGGAGCGAGTCAACCTTGGAGATCTGACGGTACATTTAATGCTTTTACGCGGAATGAATTGCGAGATGCGCGGGTATATCGGGACGATACGGGAGACTCTTTTTTATCTCGGAGAACGGAATTTCAAGATTGGAGCAGAAACGTCGGAGCGACAGCAGGCGAATATATAACCGAGCGTCTCGCGCGCTCTCCGTTATTAAAAGGCTGACATAATCGCCGGCGAAGGCGAAGCAGGAGCGCGCGCTTGCTGCCGGCTTCGAGCTCCGACGTGGCCGCTCATGCGAACGCGTGCGCGTCGCCGCGCGACGCTACGCAACGCTACGCAACGCAACGCGGCGACACGCTTCACCGAGTTGAGTTCGCCAGTCAGCCAGCCAGCCGCACGTTTTTTACGTAACGCTACGCGTAACGCTGACGCGCGTGACGTCAGCTCGTTCGGCGTTGCGCCAGCCGACCGCCGACGACGACGACGACGAAAGAGGAGACGGCGGAGGGGGAGGGGGAGGGGGAGGGGGGGAAGGGGGGAGCGAGTGGCACGGCCACTCGGAATTCTTGCGAAGAAAGCACGCACCGGGCATAGCCGAGCGCAACCGAACGTAGCCGGCGACCGACCGACCGACCGAGCGAACATCGTGTTCCTCCGCGCCTTCGCGCCTCACTTCACGCC